TAACAAACAGCCTTGGAAACTTATTTTTCTTGCCTGAATAACAACCCGAGTGGAACAACATTTTTGCTATCGAAATTTCAAAGAAAGTTACCAATGCGAATTGCAGCCAGGATGAAAAATTACTATGACGGAAGGCCACTCCCTTGTGACCCTACAAACAGTGGTCCTGAGCCAGACCCTTTGAACTCTCCTGGACCACAGCAGTCTGCAACCAACGACCTCCTTTTGAGTGTGGCCACTCAGAGCCAGTGAATTCTTGTTTGCTGTACTCAGACAGCCACTGCTATAGCCAAGATAGATCCTGGGCAGATGCACCCAAATTTGAGGCTCAACCCTTTGCCTCTTAAGAAGATGCAAAGGCATCCAATCCTTCACTGATTCGAGGGGAATTTTTCACAGGTATGTACCTTGTACATAGTGTTGAGGTCTCTGTGCATGCAGATGTGAATATGCTATATGAAATGTACTATAAATGTTGCTCTCTTAAACTCTTAAGAAGTTTAGATTTGTAAGTAAACTAGACCTGGTGGTTACTGTTGCACTATAGTAAATTCTATATTAATCTTTTGTTAAATTGTTTAACTTGAGCTATCAACTAAGTATTGTGAAATTTAAGAGCTTTGGGCCTAAACTGTTGGTCAAGCCCCAGCTCAGTGTAGCAGAGAGGTCCATTCCGAACCTTGTGACTCAGCAGGAGGGTCTTGCTTATTCCTTTTTATCCCTTATCATTTTCTACCCTTCTTCCCCCTCCACCCCCCAGCCTTCACATAGATAATTTTGGAGCTGATTCTGGTTTTAGATTGATTTTAGACTTTAATTTGCTTTTTCTAGTTCTTAAACCAAGTAGTAGAATTAACTTTCCAACAAACTTTTTCATGTTTCCACTTTTATATTAAACATGCTTTTGCTGATACCTTTGCTGGTGATTCTATAAGCGACCTTAAACACTAATTCATTATAGTTGTAAAGATTTTATGTTTCCTTTAATGTTGAAGGAGCTGTCTGAACATATTTGCAAATATGAAGGGGATTCAAGCTGATATAAGGAAAAAGAATTTTAAAATAGTTTAACTTACATAACTGCCATCCCGCAAAGGTAACTAAGGCTACATGTGTAAACAATACTGTCTCAGTTGCATCTCAGCACTGACACATATATCACAGATGAATGTTAAATAATGTTTTCGCAAAGTAAGTATTTTCCAGTGATTTCTGAAAGTAGAACTGAGTATGCTGATCCAGCTTGCTCCAGAAAGAACACTGTGTGTGCTATACCCAAGGCAATGAGAGGCATTCCAAAGTGCCATGCAAAATGTCACCTTATCTCACTTAAAGTTATTTCATCTAGTAATATCAGGAAATGACAACAATGTGCTGTTCTACATGAAAGTACATGACAGCACTATTTGTGAGACCTGGCAGCTGCCACTCTCGGCCGAGCAGATGGCAGTGATAAAAACACAGTTCAGGGAACAGGTTGATAAAGATATATCCGTCATTACACTGGCACTGCACAATTACACTCAACTCTGAGATACCATCAAAATACATGGCTCTGTTACTCTCAGTCAGGAAGACCTTGCTCATCTGAGGAAAATTATGTTTAATAATTAATTCTGTACTTATTTTAATCAGAATCATTCATCTCCAGTTCAGATGAAGAGAAAAAGCAAACCAGAAAGACATCCAAAATCTTTAAAGTCTTATGTGTTCACACTTTTGTTCTTGCAGAAGAAGAGACAAAAATTTCCTGTAAAGGAAAATAAGAGCCAGCTATGCCTTCATGGCAGCCATCAATTTATATTCCCATTAAAGTTCCAGAGGACATCTTAGGTTCCATTTTCATTTATTTTTATTTTCACCTTTTTTTTTTTGGCATAGGTGGGGAGGCACGGGGGCAATGTTAAGTGAGTATATTGGGGGTATTGCTCATGGAAGGTACCAGTCAACCACTCCTGGAAGCAACAAGAGCCTAAGCACTGGTGGCAGGGCAGTGGCAGCACCAGCCTGTCCCCACTTCATCCCTGCTCCTGGATGCTGCCAACACTGACAGGCACTGACCTGCTGCAATGGCTGGTGAAGGCACATGCCCAGGCATTCCAAAAGCCCTGGAAACAGGGAACAGATCACCTTCCCTGGTACAGAATTACAGAAGGGTTCAGCCTGGAAGGGACCACAGGTGGGTCATCTGGTCCAACCTCCCTGCTCAAGCAGGCTCATCCCAGAGCACATGGCACATGATCACAGATCATTCTGGAGTATCTGCAGTGATGGGCTTTCCACACTCTCTCTAGGCAATCTGTTTAGTGCATCTCACCCACACAGTGAAGAAGTTCTTCCTCATGGTCAGGTGAAACTTCTTATGCATGAGTTTCTGCCCGTTGCCTCTTTTCCTATTGCTGGGCATCACCGAGAGGAGCCTGGCTCCATCTTCTTGCCACCCTCCCTTTAAGGAGGGGGTAAATTCCAAGCTGCCAAAAGGGACACGGTGTTCCTGAGGAGCTGAGCAGCAGCCTGGAATCCTGAGAAAGAAAATCTTCAGTGTTACTTCTTGTGCTCTAGATTGCTAGACATGATGTTGCACTGGAGAAGGTTTCATCTTTAACAAGAACTCCAGCCAAGGCAATCCATCTGAGATGACTTCACCAGTCAGCACTGCAAGCAACTTACATGTCCTGACTTGTGTTTAGATATTTGGGGCACCTGTTTAGTTTTTTATTACTCCTGGCCTCAACTTTCACACTCCTTGACAGTACAAGTAGCTTTCTCTATCTGCTGATTCCAACAGCTGGCTACTACTCACCAGATTCCTGCTATACTCACCTAGGGAAGATTAATAAAGAAATGTGCCAAATGCTGTCATTTTAAAAATCGTCCCACCTAATACAAACATCCTACTTTGGACTTAAGTGGTGAACCATTGAGCATGTGTCTTGATGTAACTCAGTAGAAACCTTAAGACCTGAGCGTTATTAGCTCAGTAGATACACAGCCCCTTTATCTGCAATGGTAAGTCTCTGAAATAGGTTTGTAGGCAGGTGGGGTCAGTCCCTTCTTCCAGGCAACCAGTGACGAGAGGATACAGTCTTAAGCTGCACTAGAGGAGTTTTAGGCTGGACCTTAGGGAGAAGTTCTTCACAGAAGGAGTGATTGGAGTGGGCTGCCCAGGGAGGTGGTGGGGTCACCATCCCTGGAGGTGTTTAAGAAAAGCCTGGAAATGGCACTCAGTGCCATGGTCTAGGTTAGGTCATAGGCTGGACTCGATGATGTCAAAGGTCTTTTATAACCCAGTTGATTCTGTGATTCAAGACTATGGATGCTATATCAGAATTCGACCTATTGCACCAAAACTGACGAGAAATAACTGTCTTCCAATCTATGCTCACACAGGAACATTGAGCCTCCCTGAACACTCAAAAACTAAAATCACCTGAAGTGAAACTGATAAAGCTCATCAGGGCCTCAATACCTCACTGCTGTGCTGGAGATTTCTTATTCAGACCTTGGTGTTATTTGAAATTCCAGAAAGAAAATCCTAATCTTCTCAGTGAAACTCATGAAAATATTACTCATATTTAAACTACTAAAACTATTATTTAATGGGAATTGTGTTAACCAACCTAAATGCAAATAAAAGTTAACGTAAATGGCTATAAAAAGTGGACAGTCCACAGACACAAGACTAACAACACTTGCTAGCATCCTAAATTGCAAATAATGAACACCAGGTCTAACAAGAAAATCTTCTTGACGCTTAAATACTTCCTCCTACCGCAGCATATATTAACATTTAGCAGTTAGGGAGAAAATACTGAATGAAGGTGCTAAAATCACACTGTCACAGAAGGAATTTAAGGTGCCAAGAGAAAGGCAGTCAGAAGACAGGCAATAGACAGGCCAGCATAAGCAATGCAGAAGTCTGAAGTGTGAGAAGTTTGAGAGCAGAAGTGATCATTTCGGTGAGACAGCTGGGGAACAGGGGGAGAGCCACCACCAGCAGCAACTGAAGGATTCACATCAACTTTTTTTTCCTCTTTGGAAAGCACTAGCGACTGAGCATGCAACAAAGAAGTGTGAGCTTCTCAGTATAGAAAATGATGATTTTAACTTTTTCTGTAAATTAGGATTTGTCTCAAATCTGAAGATTTCAACTCTAACTAGGAACTAAAAATTCTTAATTTCTCGTCATGGTGGTTTAGAGCTTGGTTCATCACGTTAAAACATTCCTCAGTTGCTGAACTTTAAGTAAAATATTGTTTTGCCGTTGCAATCAAGTATTAAGTCCCGAGAACGTTCAGGGCACATTATCAAAGCAAGCTGGGGCTCAGAGATGCCGTGCCCAGCGCGTCCGAACGAAGACTTTGGTGCACAGGCCATGCAGAAAGCACGTCCTGTGCGAGATGAACAGCGAGCGGCGGAGCCGGCGGGAGCCCCGGGCTCAGCACCGGCCGGGCACAGACGTTTCTTTGCAGCACGACAGGTCAGCTGGGATGTGCCCGTCCCCAGCTCACCGCCTGCGCTCCGCTGTCCCGCGACAGGGACTGCGAGGCTTCCACAGCGCAGGCAGCCGCCTCCTCACGCCGGCCCAGGGTGAACGGCCGGAGAAGAGACCGTGACCGTCACCGCGACTGTGCGCTGCCCTTTACGGCGACAGCAGCGCCGATCACAGCCACGGAATCGCAGCTGACTCGCTGAACAAGCACAGCCAAGAACGCCGAGACCGAACGCCGAGACCGAACACCGAGACCGAACACCGAGACCGAGCTCCGCCGGTACGAGAGCAGCTCCGCCCCCGGCACGGGCAGCGCAGCCGGGCCCCGCCTCCTTCCGGCCCCGCCTCCTTCCTCGCCCCGCCCCATTCCCGGCCCCGCCTCCTTCCCGGCCCCGCCCCATTCCCGGCCCCGCCTCATTCCCGGCCCCGCCTCATTCCTCGCCCCGCGCCTCCCGCGTCCGGCGCGGCCCGACAGCGCCGTCTGGCGGGTGTTGGCGGAGGGGCGGCGATGGCGGCCACCGGCAGCGCGGAGGGTGCGAGCGGCAGCTCCGCGCTGTGGGCCGAGGTGCGGGCGCTGCTGCCCCGCGACGAGGAGGGGCTGCCCTTGGCGCTGAGCGGCGAGGTGGAGGACTGCGTGCTGCCGCTGCTGCGGCGGGCCCGCGCGCTGCTCTACGGCGCGGCGGGCCGGCCCGGGGCGGCAGCGGCAGCGGCGCTGGAGCGCCTCAGCGACATCCTGCGCGACTACTCCTGGGAGAAGCTGAACGCGGGGCCATGGAGGGAGGTCGGCAAGGGCTGGCGCCAGGTGTACGCCTACGGCTGCCTGTTCGGGGCGCTGGCCGAGGTGGCCGCGGGCCGCTCGCTCGCGCGCGCCGTGCGCCTCTGTGACCTGGGGCTGCTCATGGGCGCCGCCGTCCTGGACAACGCCCTGGCGCGCCTCGTGCGCGCGCTGCAGCCGCACCTGCCCCGCGCGGCGCCGCGCGACCGAGCCCGCGCCCAGGTAGCGCCGCGAACCCCCCCCGTCCTTCCTTCCTTCCTTCCTTCCTTCCTTCCTTCCTTCCTTCCTTCCTTCCTTCCTTCCTTCCTTCCTTCCTTCCTTCCGGGCGCGCTGCTGAGGGGGAACCTCCAAACCTCCGTTCCAGAGGGTCCGGCTGCAGCCGCCGCCCCCCGCCCTGCGGCCGCAGGAGGTGATCCCGCACCTTCACTGTCCTTCGCTGGAGCACTTCAGAGACAACTACCTCGTTCCCCAGCGGCCCGTGGTCCTGGAGGGCGTCATGGACCACTGGCCGTGTATGAAGAAGTGGAGGTGAGAAGTAAGTTCTTTCTTGTCCAAGTAAAGGTACGATTGTTCCCTGTGTGGGGTATCTTGATGCTCGATAGAGCAGCAGATACCTTCACAGAGGATGGATACCGTGAGCGGTGCATTTTGCTAGCAGCACTGTCCTACTGCTCTGTGGAAGTTGCGTCATAGATGAGGGAAGTTCTTCATAGCATTCAGGGCATCACACGGCAGGTGCTGGACTGTCTCAGGGCAAAGGTGACCCTTTGACCAGCCTCTGGCTCTTCACGGGTGACGGCCACCCTCTGCCAGCCTTCAGCCGTCCCAGGAGCCCATTGGCAGCACCTGGGAGCTCGGGAGAAGTGCACATTGCAAAGGGCCGGGGAGCTGCTCACAGCTCCTGGATGTGTGTCACACACACCTCAGTGGATTTTACCCCTTGGAGCTTGCGATAATTAGTGCAGTAGTAAGTGAATTTCAGAGCCATGAATAAGCATGGCTGACTTTTTCATTCATAAGTCCAAGCACTGATGTTTGTTCAGTGTTGTGTTTGAGTGTTGAGTTTCAGACACCATTGTGCTGCCTGGTTAATGCACGCGATGGTGCCCACATTTCCAATACTGAGCATCGAGTATTTGTAAGATGAAGGTCGTGATTCCCTAGAAAAGGGAAAAAACACTGATGCTTAGTTTGAATAAGTTTACTTTAGTTCAACAACTAAGTGGACACACTTGTTATGTCATACGAATTTTATTCATTTTTGAGGGAAGGTACTGCACTGGTTAAATTTAGATTAAAAAGATTAACTTCTCAGTTTAAGTAATACCATTGTCCATGGAGAGATATATTTCACCCATCAAACTAATCCCTCTGGTTACAATAGGAATGGGTATTATTGGCACCTGTATAGACAGACTCTGACAGAGAGTTGATCTTATATTACTAAGCAAAAGATACAACATTTTATCAAATGTGGCCGCAGGCAGCAAAAGGATTGGCCATACCTTGCCAGGAGACAGTGACAGCTTAAATCTTCTTAGTTTGGAAGGAAACAACTGAGGCAAACAGGCTTTTAAACCAAAACAAAACGGACAGTTGTGGGGTCACGTACACACAAACCTGCTTGCTGATTTCCTTGTTGCATGCATTTTCTTCTGCCTTTTTTCTTCTGTTTGGTTGGGTTTAGACAGGAGAAACTCGTGGTTATAGAATTTTATTACGCAACAAGACTGATTTGGATTGATTGCCTTACATTCAAAATTAGTAAGAGCAGTATAGAGGGTAATGGAACTTTCTTTATTTCAGTGTGGACTATTTCTGTCAAGTCGCAGGGTGTCGCACAGTCCCCGTGGAGTTGGGTGCTCGGTACACAGATGAGGAATGGTCTCAGCAGCTCATGACTGTCAGTGACTTCATCAGCCAGTATATCATGGCCGAGGTCTGTTACATTCCTTTGTTTCATCTCCAAACATAGCAGCATGGGACTGGTATGGAGAACAGTTCTGCTTTCAACAAACCTGCTCAGAGGTGATAGCAAGGGAGGGGGTGTGCTGTAAGCACAGCTCTGAACTAAAAGGTTTGACATATTTTCAAGACCTGAAGCCAGGAATAATTATTGCAACAATAGGTTTTACCTGTAATCAAATGTACAGTAGCTGGAATTTGATTAATACATATGTACACACATACATACACAGCAAAAACCTGACTGATGGAATCTAAGTATAAGGGATCCTCAGACAGCAGTGTTGTTCCTCTTTCTCAGTAAACTGCTTAGTGAGATTTAGGATCAGATCCAAATTTATATGCCATGAGGCAAGAAAATGCAGATTTGATTAGCATCTGGAATGTCCTTTTGCTTTCACAGATGAGGATCCCAAGCCCCCATTTCTGTTTCCTGGCCTTCTGGCAGGAAGAACCATGTGCAAACTGATCTGTGGTGCACCCTGGAATAGAGTATGGAAGTAGTTCCAGGGCATGAAGGAGAGCTGGGCTGTGTGCCAGCAGGGTCTGGCTAGACAGATGCAGTGCATTATCAGCTGTCAGGACTCCACAGGGAGTCCCAGCTTCCTTCAGTAACTCAAGCTGGATGATTTATTGATTGTGGAGACACACATACACTCTCACAATTTCAATGGAGCTGTAAATTGCTATTTCTGAAGACTCCCCTATATTGTTGAAATAGTTATATTACTCTGAATAGGACATTGCAAATGCATGTTACCTATAAGTAAATTCTATTCACCTCTAAGTAAATTAACTTGCTGTCTTCCCTGTATGTTACTGTGTTTTTTCTTTCTCTGCTGTCATTTCAGAACAATGTAGGATACCTTGCCCAGCACCAGCTTTTTGATCAGGTAAAACTGAGTGAGTGTTTTTATCTTCCTACAGTCATGTGTTCCTGTTGTAGCCTAAGTTGTCTCTGAGGATGTTAACTGTACTAGATCAAAGAGCATATGGAGAATTCACAGTAATTCTTAAGTTTCTATTTGCATGGTTTGAAGAAACGCAGGGAGAGGTTTATTCCATTTGGCTGCAAGACATGGAAACAGAACCCTTTTGGGATGAAGACATTCAATCCTAGTGCTGTTTCAGTACAATGTAGCATATACGTAGGAAAGCCCATTTCGTAAGTCAGGGAAGAGATTTGGACAGGAAAGTCTTCAACGTTTATATGTTCAGCATAATCTGAAATACCATTCCAGTTTACCAGAGCTTAGGTTGACGGGAGACATAGAAAGGAATGTCCCAGAGAAGCAAGCCTAGTATAGAAGAGATCAGCTGCTCCTTTTCCATGAAGAGCAAACATACTTATTCTTGTGGTTATCTCTGATTTCTGCAAAAGCAAAGGGTCTCTGAAGAATGAGGAAACCCCTTTCTTTTTCCTGCTTCTCCTTCCAACAGAGTCTGCTCACTAGAACAGAAAGTTTGAGAAAATTTCCTGCAGATTCCTAGCAGGTCAGCCACTTTTCTCCTATCCTTGCTGGACCTACCAGTCATTTGTTTTCTTTGCATCCAGCCTCGCTCATCTATTCTATGAACTATGCATTTTAGCAAGTCAGCACATACCCTTTTTAATGATTCTTTATGGAAATAGATCCCAGAACTGAAAGAAGATATCAGTATCCCTGACTACTGCTGCTTGGGGGAAGGGGAAGAAGATGACATCACCATTAATGCTTGGTTTGGTCCAGGAGGAACAATCTCACCTCTTCATCAAGATCCCCAGCAAAATTTTTTAGCCCAGGTATGTACTCAAGTTACTCTACACCACATGCCATTAATGCAATACTTAGAGAAAATGTTTATAGTATGTATTAGAGACAAGGGGAGCAGACAAGTAACAATCAGTGAAATCCAGTGAAAGAACTGGTTTAATGATGACACAGAACTAAGAGTTTGAGGGCTGTATGGAAGCTTAGCACTCACTGTGCAACTACCTCTGCCTGTTGATGTGAATTGCAATGAACATTCAACCTCCTTATTCTCAGTTCTTATTTCTAGCTATGTAGAGCCCAAATAATGATGTATAAATTGGGTGCCTTCAACTTTGAATTGAAAGCAATCTGGTTAAAGACATTTCCTCCCAAAGGTATTTCAAATTCTTATCTGCTCCAAGGGAATAGGCACTTGAATTCCAATAGCTTGATTTAACTTTTTATTATAGCAGTGTCTATTACTAACAAAGGTAATTATGTTCCTTGTAATCAGGTATATTTTACTGTTAAATAGCAGCTATGGCCCACAGCTTCTAGTAATGTGCCAGTTAACATTACAAAACAAATTAACCAATGGAGAACATTTATTTTATCATAGGTATTTGGAAGAAAGTATATCCGTCTCTATTCACCACAAGATTCAGAAAACCTGTACCCCCATGAAAGCCAAATTCTTCACAACACTAGTCAGGTAAATAGTTGCTTGAAATTTTAGTATCAGTCATGTTATCTTATCAAATCACATTCGAGTAAAGACATTATTCTGATGATTGTTTGGTTTTTTAGGTTGATGTGGAAGATCCAGACTTGGTCAAGTTTCCAAATTTCACAAAGGCTGAATTTCAGTCCTGCATTCTGATGCCTGGACAGATTCTTTTTATTCCAGTTAAATATTGGCACTACGTGCGATCACTTGAGCTCAGCTTCTCTGTTAGTTTCTGGTGGTCATAGCACTGAAATTAAATTAAAAATCAGGGAAGTAGCATCTCTCAGGAGAGGTTAGAGGTGGAGCAAAACCAAAAACCAATGAACTTTTGCTAAAGCGTGGAGAAGCAGTCACAGTGGGTAAGTGGAAAGATGATGCTGTAGCCACTTCATTTTTGTAAATGTTTCTAGTAACTCCTAAAGAGCCCAGTCTGTGGCACACAGTGTCCTGTGTGTGCATCCCCCAGAAACAGCCTGTGCACGGGCACTGCCAGGGCTCTGCCTGAGCCTCTGTCTGGAAACCAGGTCAGTGTTATTTTCTACTTGGATTTAGTAACACTGAACCCTGGAGTTAGCTAGAGAGATGTGCTACCTAAAGGTTCAATCCATTAAAAAATTAAGCTAACACCAAGCAAGGCACTAGTCTCCTACATGGAAAAAGTTACTCGTGGCCTGGTTCTGGCCAGGATAGGGTTAATGTCTGCAGTAGCCAGGAGGGGCATGGCCCAGACCAGAGGTTATTCTGCACCACCTCAGCCTGCCACTGCTGCCAGCAGGGCAGGGGGGACAGGAAGGGGCTCCTTGGTCTCTTAGTGACTGAATCTGTGTGTCAATCTTTTTTTCGTTGTTTTTTTTTTCCTCTCTTGTACACTTTGTTACTGATAGTGTTGCTATTACTGCTCATTTTCTTTTTCCGTTGCCATTTCCAGTAAATTGTTCTTATTGCAACTCACGATCTTTATCTTTTGGGCCTCTCAATTCTCCTGTCCATGAGGGGAGAGGTAGGGGGAGGAGGGAGTGAGCAAGCATCTTGTGGTTTGGAGCATTTTGGTGGGAACACTAATGTGGGGAGTACCATTCCTGAAGCACAACATCATGTTAAAGCCTAGAACATAAGCGAAGTTAATCCGTAGTTTAATTGCAGTTAGATAACCTGAAGCTTAATTACACTTTGATTAACTATCACCTGAACTGCTGCCACAGCCCTTCTGCAGTGTCACACATCTCTACCAAGGACAAGAATGCTGCCATTGCAGTCTGGTGTCTGGCAACAGCCAGTCCTTGGCTCCTTTCCAAGTCATTCTTAAAGAAAAAAGCATCCTTACTTAAAACTGGAGACAGAAGTGCCAAGACTAAAAACCCAAAGAATCTCAATATGGTAATTTCTTCAGCACTTTGCAGAAATAAGCTAACATTGCCCCAAGTCCAGTCCTACTGCTTCCCAATCCTTCTGTGGCAATATTCCCTCCTTACAGAGCACAGCTGCTCGTGACCTGGCCTTACATCAAGACAAATTCTTGTGCATCTAAAGAAGGGACAAAGCAGAACCACAGTGCCAATGAGAAGTGTTCCAACTCCAGCTGTAGGTCAGAGAGTCAGCCAGCTGTCTTGCAGATACTGCACTGATTTTTCACCTGCTTGAGGTGCTACAGCAGGTGTCATTTCCATTGTGCAACTCCATTTGTACTGTCCCTATACAAACAGGGAGCACTTGCTGACAAAGGCTTCTTTCGGGAGTTCAGCTGCATGTATCAGCCTGCAGGACCCACTGAAATATTTGCATCTTTCATCCCCAAACATGGACTGAGAGTCCCAGCCCAAGAATATGGAGAATTACAAACACAAAATAGCCTCCAAGAAAGCTGTGCAGGCATTACTGTGAACAGGAACATAAATGGTATTTTATTGTAAGATTCTTAGAACTTTAGAAAAGGAGTGCACTGAGCACTGTTACTAATGAATACAATACAGTCTGGCTGTTCTAGCAGTGGAGGCAAACAGATGTCACTGACAAGTTTTACTGGCATCATCTAGGGCCAAGAGTGGAGCTCTGTGGTGAATGGGAGCCCATCCGACTCACACCTGTAAAGAAAAAGGAAGGTAAATGGACAACACACAAAAAAGATAATATTGTATCACCTCCTTTTCTAAAATGCTTTGTATATTCTTCTGTTGCTGTTCAAAATGTCCAATTTCCCTGGATAAATGGAGGAATTCCAAATAGATTTTTAGAAGCTTGGTATTTCCAGAAGTTTTAGTGTCATGGGTTGTGTGTGCCTCTATTCCTTCTCCCTGCCCACCCCACCTTCTAAAGATAGTTATAAAAAATATGCACAGGGTCAGCTATGCCCCTGTGGCACTTTTTTGAGGGCTCAATGCCTGTGTGTGGTTTAGTGTATGAAACACACTACTGAAGTCAGAAATGGGTGATGTTCACAGTTATAAATAATACAGGTAATGCCATTGGATATCACAGCCCATTTCCTAGTATTATTACATTCAATTTTTTTAAAAGTACTTTCCTTGGTACCTGGGGTGTCACAAGACCAGAATTCATTACACTTGGGACAGCGGGGTTCAGTCTGGCCTCTGAAATACTTTCTGACACAAGGTAAGTGCATTCCAATTCCACAGGATTCACATACTTGGCTCTGAAATCAAGAGTTGATTCATAAAATCCTTCTGAACTGTCCTTCAATTTAAGAGAAAGTTGTTACAAGGAGCAGCAGATATGCAACACTTCATTCCAAAGAATGGTTCCCACAATACGTGTGATTGACACACAGCAGACAAAGATGGTAAATGGTAAGAGGAGGTATTTTTCTGTGAATTAGGAAATACTATTTCCCTATATGGACAAAATTTAGCTTGAAAGACAATTTCATTGCAATAAAGGAGACTAATTGGGATGGGAAAAGTAACATGGAAGCATGTTAGTTGGGCAGATGAGAAGATGCAGGCTCACAGAACAAGAGTTTTGGAATAGGAATCCAGGCTGTAACTGCTTCAGCAAGATGGAACGGGTAAGGTCCCAGCTATCAAAACACAGTGCTTTAGCATGCTCTACATAGCACATGTTCCTTCTGAGGTCCAAACAGAAGCAATTCCTGAATTAAAGTCCCAGGACCAAGAATGAATGTGTCACACAATGACATCTATTGGCCAGGCCCAAAGAGGACACTGCTAAACCTCTTTCAGCATGAGGAGTTCATCTCTAACATGCTGGGTTGCAAAGCCAGACAGCACAACCATGTTCCTCATTGCAGGAGTGCACTTCTCCAATTTTATACTTGGAGACATTGCTCCAAGACAATTTTATTTCTAAAGACAGAAGATAAAATGCCTAAAATGACAAAAAAAAAAAAGGTTTTTTTACAAAATGCATGAGCACCATGACCAGATTATAAGACCAAGATTATACCCAAGGGAAAGCATCATAAACCTCAGCTATGACCATGCAAGTCCGTCGGCTGAGTTGATAAAACATGTTACCTGGATGGTGAGGCTGTGACAGATGTTACATTTCCTTGCCACATCCTGGTAGTTGCTGAGAATGTACTGTTCCATCTCAATTATGCAACGGGTATGCAGAGTATATTCTCCATTTTTCTAAGAAAACAAGTGTTGAGATAAGGAATTTCTTCTAATTCCTTCTATCTTTTCTGACTTTGCTAACCACCTGTTAACAATCCACTTTTTTCTACAGTCATGAAACCAACATGCTGGTACAATGCAACACAAGAACACTTTTGAAATGGCAGAACTCCTTTGTTTAGAGGAGCAGAATAAAAACCCCACACCTTTAACAGAGATCTAGTCCTTGGAAAGCATAGATGAGCAAGCATGTGTTCTTTAACAGAGGCATGCTCTTTTGGCATCCTCTTTTGGCATCCTCCATTTATATGTCAGAGGAAATTCTCCTGGCTTTCTACAAATTCTAGGCATTACTGTATCTTTGGAAATATCAGCCAAATCAACTTAACACTTAAGTAACTGTGTGGCAGCAGGCTGGAGACCTATGATGCAAGGACTCCAGCAGAAAAGAGATTAGGGTCTCACTTGGCAAGCAACTGCAGTGTCCACATGGTCAGTCCACCATGGTGAGCTCATTTCCACTGCTCCCTCATAAAACAAGTGTAACCATGTGCCCAATGGCCCACACATTTCTGGTACAGGAGTTTAACATATTCCTTTTCAGGAAATTCTAAATGGAACTAGCAGCACTGATCACTCTGAAGAGCTTTCCCCAGCTCTTGTTCCAGGTTGAAGGATACTGTGCTTTTGTGTACAAAGGATGTCTGTGTGTCACTGGGCAGGACTGGACACACCCACCCACCTGGCTCAGGTACAAGAAACTGAAACCATATGGTCCTGTACAGTCCTACCCAAGGACTTTTTCCTTGTAAGTCTACTTCCTTTTCTGGAAAAAAAAAACTGGAGCAGCGAGAAGCATGGGCCCCATGAGACCATTTTTGCCATCATTCACTCAAGCAGAGCTCCAGTCTCAGCTACCTCATCTGTAAGAACGTGGCAGCTGGACTATGAACACTTGAATGCAGTTACCTCAGAGAGCCACTTATCCTCCACAAAAACTTTCAGCACTTGCTCTGCTTCCTTTTTCTTCATTTTCTTGGTCTTAAGTTGGTCAGCCAAGTTTAAAATATCCGTAGATGAGGCAAAGCCATTTTCTGATAAAATTATTAGGTCCATCTACAGGAAGAAACATTAGAAAACAAGTATTAGAAACATTGCAATTAGGCAGACACACAGTAATGTGCTAATGTGCATTTTTTTTTAGCGTGCACGTATCTGAGAGATACTACAGTATATGGCTTGAACCAGAATTGGAAAACAAAGGCCAAAAGCTGAAACAATCATTGTCCCCTTCACAGTTTTGATCTTTGCCAAGAAAATGTTTCCACAAATAGAAGTATATGTGCTGCCTAAATGAATCTGCATTCAGGGACCCCTGGACACACTCAGTGGTGACAGATCCATTTCTTTTTATCTGCTCTTTATCAAAGATCTTTTGAGGAAAAATCTCCATAACCATATTTTTAGATGCAAATCAGCAAATTCATTTTGTATGTTGCTAGCATTAAAAACTACTGTATATTACAAAACTACTGAAGCCAGTAGAAAACTCAGCAATCATGACTGAAAATCCTGAAGAAAGTTGTGTAACTAAAAGCAGGCATGTCGAGTCCCTAACCCCTAGGAGCCCTTCCCTGGTGCTGATTTTGCCTGACCCATAAGTGACTTACAGCAGCAAATCACTGCTTGCACGTACTTTCATCCCTGCCCACTCCGCCCATTTGATCTCTCATAAACTTAGGTAAAATGGCAACTACTTCCTCAACCACATCTCCATTTCCATTCATTTTAACATACCTTCACAAATTGTATGATTTACTAAGTGATAACTGACATACTTACTGTTTTTCTGAACAATTCTAATTCAGTTTCTGTATAGTCAGATGCCATTTTAGTTACTTCAGTTTCTGCCAAATTCACCTACAAAAAAATAAACTGATATAAAGTGCTGATGTAGTTTTATACCAGAAGCTGTAAAAAAAACCCCTGAGGTTAAGAATACATCATCTTACAATTAACATAAATGTTAGTTCTTTGAAAGGCACTTGATGTACTCAGGTTCTTTCTTTACAACCCCTCATCTGCCAGCCACAAATTCCCCACAGCTGCCTCTGCCCAGGCAAAACCATTCCACAGCCCAAGCTCCCAGAACTGAGACAGAGTGCTGCAGCAGAGCTCACACGGCACAGGTGCTAGACAGAAGCAGGAACTATGAAAACTGTGAAAACCAGCTGCCCATGTTTTCTACTCTTACTGCACATGCTACTACTATTAATTATTTGCTCAACTTAGCTGGCAAAAGGAAAGGCTAAAAGCAGCAGCTAATGTTATAATGCCTCCTGTATAGTCTTCTGAAATTATTAACCTTCTCTGATACATATATTGCAAATCATCTGGGGAAACAACTTACAGGCCACTCCTCAGTAACCCTTTTGTGCTTAGCTGATTTTTGAGTGGGAGAAAAAGAAAACTGATGTTGGATAGCTCTCTGTGTCTTCTAGTTAAAAAAATCTGTCTCAGGAAAGAAAGTCTCCCGTGGAAAAGGAATCTCACTTCAGCACTTAAGCAATGTTTATGCTAAGTAACTCCAACAGTGCTGTCATCCTTGGTGCCATGTCTTATTCCCACACACCTGGCTGTGACAGTTCACCCTCGCAGCAGCTCCTGCAGCCACTGCCAGCCCCACACAAACAGCACAGCAGGTACCTACTACAGCATAATGTGCTCTGCCATCATCTTCTGATGCTCCCTTCCGGATCTGCATAAACAAAGGCTGCAGGTGGCTGTTAATAGTGCTGATGAAATCGTCCAGTTTATCGTGTGCGTAGTAAACTGAAAATGAATGAGAAAAAACACATATAAAGAAAAGTCAAACAACTACACATCACACAGATCTTTTTATATGAAACATTTTTCCCAGGTAAAAGTGCTAAAACTGTAAGTCAGAATTCAAACATGAATTCAAACTGTTCTATTCAGCAGACATGTAATGTCTTTGTGCTGTTGTCTCGTGGCCTTCAGAGATGCTCAGCTCCTTTAAAATCAGTTGACAGAATCCAGACATTCTGCCTTGTGGCAGGGAACCCACAGCACTAATCCAGTAATTACAGTGACTTGAACTAAGCTGAACTGAAAAGAAAATATGACTGGGAAAAAATATTATGCACAATACAAAAATACACTGACTTGAATTCCTTTATAAACAAGGGATTTCTTGTTTCTGTATGCTCTGTTTCACAAATTAATGGCACATAAATGATCAAGTTACATATAAGAAAACCTAAAATTCTAGTGTTGTAGAAATCAAGCAAATACTAGCAGCAGTTTTATCATAGACATAATTAAGATTGACTTTGCAGTCATTCTGTGTAAAAGCATACAATGGTTCTTGCCTGCACATCACCAGCACAACCCTCACATCCACCCAAAACAAGATTTTGTAAGTGGCAATGCTCCTGTTGCCTACATCAGGCTATGGTTTAAGAACCAGAGCTAAGTAAGAGCTCATAGTTTAGATAAATTATTCATGTCTCAAAAATGCAACTAGTTATCACGAAATTAATCCTGTTGTCAGTCACAGGAGTCCCTCGCTGGTGTAACAGCATTGGGCCAAGTCCTGCTCACAAACCCCTCAGCACTATCCAGCACTCACAGGATGCTCCTGCCCAAGAGTTCCTGATTCTGATATACAAGATTCCTTCAGCAAGCAAAGCCAACAAACAGCAAGAATGACAGTAAAATAAGTACAAGATTTAACTATAATTTTGCCACCTGCTTGGCCCCTGTCAGCAGGAAACACTGCACAAAGTAGTCAGGGAGCTTTAGTCAGAGAGGGTAAAAGATGAAAGATAACAGAATACTCTTTTGTACAACAGCTACAGCGTTTTAATGTGAGATAAGTGGTTGTTCCAGTAGATCTTATGTGAGAAAAAAAGGGATAAAAATTCTCCATAAAAAAAGAACAGGGGTTAGAGAACACCAAAAGTTGCACTTCACAATTTTAGCATCTAAGAAGTAGATCAGGTTACAGTTCCTGACTCCAGAGACACAAATAGGCCACTTCATTCTGACATTACATCTAAGCCTAAGTAGGTACAAAGTCGCAGAAAAACAGAAGAGTCCCTGCAGAGTGAGTAGTATGGTGCCATGGCACAGGAACAGTCCTAAGCCTGGCAGGAGCACAGCTTCCAGGACTTGGAATGAACAATACAGGGCAGGTGAGGTGGGAAGAAAGCACAGCAATTCCCCAGGAAACCTCATCTCTTCCTCACCAAAATGCTTTTGCAGCAGTCACTTCTCTCACAGCACCTGGGAGAAATAACTGAAGTGCATTTACTTAAAAGCATTCACTATAGTGAAGTACTTTCAGTGTCAAAAAATATTTTTTAAAAATCATTTATATGTATAACCTATAAACAACAACCCTGAGAAAATAAAAAGTACTATATACAAATCTGGCCTGATTAGAAGTTAGTTTACTCATTGCTGTATTATTTTATCTTTCAGGAAAGAGAGGGAACACTCATATCTTTACAGTTTTTTAACTTTTTTTAGCTGGTGCATGCCCTCGAGAAGTCAAATTATTTGTAAACTGCATCAGGAAAACAATCCAGTTCTTTCATCACCAGGACAGACACACCTTTATCAATTTCACAGCAGTGCTGGTGTAATTTCCTGGCCTCTGATCCTTCTGTTATCCCATTAGACATGAGAACCTGCAAGAACCGTCGGTGAGCATCGGTCATCCGAGCTGCCATCAGTGTTTCACCAGGCTTCAAGTGCTGCAGGAGGTTTAAGCTGGAATTAATGCACATGTTCATGCAAATTAAGAACACAACAGTCTAAGTGTACACAAGATTTCAATCAAAGTCTATTACACTGAATGAGGGCAAAAAAAGGAGATCCCAAGGTTGTCCTGAGAAGGCAGAGTGACCAGCTCTGAGGTTCTGGAAGGGTGCAAGAGATAAATATGTTCAACTAGTTTTAGCTACAGAAAAGAACAACGTAGGCATTGTGTTGTTGTCACCCAAAATCGAGAATAAAACTCCTTCTTAACACCAACGTAGTATTAAGAAGGAAGCAATACTTTACTGCAGCACTGGATACACAGGGGAATAACTCCTGCTTAACGTGCACAGTTGGCTCAAGGTGATAAACGTAGCAGCCGCTGGAGTCTGCACAGTTAGTCTCAGACGGTGCTCTCGGAGGGTCTTTAGGCACTCCTAGTGGTCACTGAGCCTCTGAACTGTGACAACGATCTTCTCCAGCCGGTGTGCTTTTCATCGAAGCTGCAGTGTGTTGCTGAGCGAGCTGGGCTGGGCCGCTGTGGCTTGTTACGAACGGGAGTCAGAGAGCGCCCAACGTCCCACGAAGCGCGACCGAAGCTGCCGTTAACCGGCACTCTCCCCTGCGGAATCTGCAGCACTGTCGTCGCCCAAACCTGAAAATAACAGTGCTGGGTGACAAACACAACACCGTCTGTCATTCTATGGTACATGAAGCTCCTGCTCCCTGATTTGAGCACAGTCAGTCAGAGCGGGTGACTTCGGACAGAATATAATCCTCTACAGGTTTCGAAGAACGCCTGAAGTAATTAAAGGCAGCTCAGGCAATTCTCTGACCACTGTATCAACCGGCTGCCCGCTCCCGACTGAGCTCCGGCTTCGCCGCCCGCGCGTCCCCAGGCCAGCCGCAGCCCACGGAGGCAATGACCCGGAAAAGCGCCCGGCCCGCTAGCCCTCGGCCCTTCCGGGACCCACCGGAGCTCCCACCACGGTACCACCCCCGTCAGCCGCCCGCCGCACCTGGCCGCGCTCGCCAATTCGGCGATGGCCGCGCTCGCCTGCTACCGATGGCCCCGGGCCGGCCCCGCCCCGCGCAGGCCCCGGCCCGGCCCGCGCAGGCCCCGCCCCGGACGGGCGGTGTGCGGGGGCCGCTGGTGCCGGGCCGGGCCCGGGGAGGCGCCGCGTCCGGGTCGGGAGCGCCCGGGTCGGGAGCCTGGCGCAGGTTCGGTACAGACAAGGTACGTCCGGCGGCCTGCTCGTCCCGGCGTCGGGACCGGCTCCTTCTCGTTCCTTGCGTTTGGCGCGCCGTTTGTGCGGTCTGTTTTTCTCCGTGCCGGTTCTGGAAAGGGCGGAAGGTCCGTGCTCCCTCCGGGGCTTGGCCGGGCGGAGATCCCGGGGCTCGTCCCGTACGGCGGATCCGGCTGGAGCCCGCGGGCAGAGCCGGTTCTCTTTCCTCGAGGCTGTTAAACTCGAGTGCTCCTTTTACAGTATTTCAGACACAAGCGGTGTAAGTCTCCGCAGCGCGGTGGGCGCAGCAGCCGCGCCCGGGCCGGGCCCGCCGTCCCCATCGGAGCCGTTCCCGGCCGTGCCCAGCCCGGGGCTCGGGGGCTGCGGGGCTTGGCCCCGGTTCGTGCCGAGCGCCCGGAAAGCGGCGGCTTCTCGCCAGGCGGCATTACGCTCTGCATGGGTTTTCTTTTTAAGGTTTGATACAGAATCTGTTGGTGAACCTTTTGCTTTGCCATGTACCGCTTGTCTGATTTTATCCAGCGTTTATAGCCAGTACTTTAAAAACTAGAGAGTAAGACAAGATGTATCTCAGTTTTAAAAAGAGGCAGTTTTAAACAAGAAATTTGTTTTAGAGACTTGATTCTGGATTAGACTCTTAAGGAATTAATGTAAATTGCTTTAGCTGTACAATTGCAGCAATGGTACATTGAGCAGTCTTGTTTAATATCTGACCTCTTGGTTCGGGCAGGAGTTACTCTTCGCACATTACAGTTATGCACATTATACCTGTTAATGAAATGTGACCCAATTTTCCTTAGAAGACCAGACCAAAAGTTAGTACCGTTTTTCTTGATAGTAAATAAAATCATTTTAATCACGTAATATTTTTTTCATGAAACAGAAAGGTTAAGTGATCAAAGAATATACCTTGTGCCGATAATTGTGTACATCTGTTTCTAACCCCGACAGAGATTTCTTTCCTAGGTTTGGGGAAGTGACTTATGTGTTTACAATTTACTTTCCTCAAATATATTAGTTACTAGGTTTGCTGCAATTTTAGTATTGTCTATACATACTTTTTAAAGATTGGTATTTCATTGTTTGGTATAATGAAAAACTTGAGAGGTAACAGGCAGAAGAGCTGTGGATGTTTTAAAATTTTCTCCTTTTGCAGTTTCATTAAACCTCTGGCTTAAGTCAATTTTCATGCAGATGTGCAGATCCATTCTTCCAAGAGAAGATGGTTTTGGTCTGCCATCTGCTTATTTGGACATGCTTACGTGGTTCAAGATTCTCTGCCAAAGTTCTAAGAGTTCTGGGAGTTTCTTGGAACTCCAGTCATGTGGCAGCATTACCTAACAGTGGAAAGCAAATGCTTCCTCTCTTCAGAGTTCCAGGAAAAAGGGAAATGAAGGATTTATTTTTTTTTTTTATGCCAGAGCAGTTGGCTCTTTTTTTTTTCTGAGCAGCAGCAAAGGTGCTTGTGTTCTTTTAAAAAAAGTATCACTGTGCTTAGTCACTTTTCATCTATTCTCAGAATATGAAAAACTCAGCTCTCAAGCTCTTATGAGAAATTTGTCTTTCATGTTTGTCCTTTATTACTAGGTGAGCAGTAACTGCCCCAGAGAAGGTCACAGAGGAGTCTCCATTCTGTCTTTCTGTTTTCACTAGCAATGTCCTTATCCCTGAACTTCTAAGATGGATGTTTTCAGTCAGACAGACAGACTCACCTCTGTCAGACAGATGAAATGTGGTTCTGCTGCATGGTTTGCTTGGGGAAGAGAGTATTGAACTGCCATCCACAAATACCTTTCAGTGATTTTTCTGTTTCAGAATCTGATCAAGCTTCTGCAGAACACCCAACACCATTCACCTGCTGAAGGAAATTTCCTCTTCTCTTCTCTTCTCTTCTCTTCTCTTCTCTTCTCTTCTCTTCTCTTCTCTTCTCAACTGAGAGAATCATGAGGCTTTGAAATAAAAGCTAGTGTACTACCTGGGAGCCCTACGGGTTTAAACAGAACAGCCGAAGCTTGCAGGCAGCAAGAGCACTCTGTCCAGACGTGAAAGTTAGAAAATTCCGAAAGCATGAGAGGAAGGGAACAAAGGGTTATGTCTTAACAATGTGCTGCTGAACGAATTTTATCCCTCTCTATACTGAAAGCAAAGCCAAAAGCATATTAGTTAGCATGACTTCATCTGAATTTACCAGAATTTTAAATGCATCACATCCATCTGTAGTGATATTAAAGCTAGTAGCCTTATCTTAGGTATTAAGTAGCTACATTGGTAAAAAAGTCTTGGGGACACTTGCTATTTTTAAGTCTGAAATGAATTATTTAATCTGTTTTCAATTTACCTAGACAGTTTTGTTATGCTTAGGGACATAAAAGCTGCATTATTTTCCTTCTCCAAAGTTGTTCTGGTTATATCATGATTAGGTATGTGTTCTACAACTTCTAATTATTTAATGTTTTAATGAATCTGCATTCTTTTGGAACAATGCTCAGAGTTCTTTGCTAAAATTTTTTTTAAGAGGATGATATTCAGATTATCAAAGTACTGGTGATCCAACTTGGGGAAAACATTTTAGTCAATAGATTGGACACTTGATTCTTAAATCCTTTTACTTACCCGAGTGGAATCGTAGGGCTTTGCTGACAATGTCACCGTTTTTGGTCTAGTGCTTGCCCTTTTTTACCCTTTACATGCTAGCAGCTTTCCTAGTAGCTAAAGAGAGTAAGTCCACTGCCAATGTCAGTCCCATATCTTCTGTAATTAAAATTTTTCAGAAAAATCTTCTAGCTCATTTGTATTCCCTTTGTTCTACATGTTTCTTCCGTGAGATAATTTTAGGGGCCAGAGGTAGGAAACAGGTACAGCAGGAGGTCTGAACTCTGGCATCTAGCAGAGTGGTAGGAAAAACACCTTTACCTTAACTGAGACAGGAATGTAAGTTTATTATGTTTTCTGTTGGCAGAATTGCAGCACGGTTTTTCCTGTTGAACCTGACCATTTTCAATAATGGCAAGACTCCTAACTGCTGCACCATATACCCTTTGGATCCTTTTCTTTTCATATACAACAAATGCAGGTATGTTCATCGATATTTTAAATTTTTGTACTGAAGTTTTTCTTGACAGCATTTTTCCATGACCACTAGGTAACGCTGTTTCCACTAATTAACTACTATAGAATTTGTAACTTCAAATGTCAGAAATATCACTGTACTAGGAAAAAAAAAATCGTAGACTTCTTCTTTTCTTGATATTGACCTTTTCTCTGTGGGCAAGAAAAAGTAGAAATTTGCGGGAAGGAGAAACAGGTTTGGAAAGCCATGCTGTCCTTCCCCACGGTGCCGTGTCCCCTGGCTGCTGTGGTTTGGGCCCAGGGAGCTGTCCCTGCGGGGCCGCTGTCACTCTGTGCTCTCCAAAGGCTGAAGGCTCCTGCTGTGGCTCACGGCAGCCCTGGCTGCTCTCGCTTGCCCTGCACAGGGATGGGCTCTCGGCGTGCAGAGCCTGCACACTCACCCAGCCCGAGGGCTGCTGCTTCCTTAAGGATTATTTCGTGTTGGCAGAAGCTGAATATAAACGTGGCTTGTTTTCATTGCATCTTTTATGGTGTTTGATTATAAATACTAATGTGATATTTGTACTAATGGTATTCAAGAATGCATTTTTATTTTCTGGAAAATGAATCTTACACTTTGCTTTCTGTATTTTTTTAAACTAGTTCCACAGTAGTCTATAGTTTCTTAAATCTCATTTTATTTTGTTTTAAGAAGCTAAATCAAAATATTTAAAAGACAATTTAAAATAGCCTATCTCTAAAAAAGAAGTTTCATTAGCTACTGTCTTGTGTACTATGAAATAGTGCAATTTGAATTAATGAGAAGGATCAAGGTTTGCAAGAGCACATTGGCAGGGTTGTCTGATCTAGGTAATTCCACCTTTTCATTTCCCTAAATGATCTTTATCAGAGTTTAATTTTATCATATTTTGTTCGAGTTTGTTTGCCTGGTTAACTGCCTAGTGTTTCTTCAGCATCATGTACTCTTGGAGGATTAAAAAAGAAATTCAGTATTTCAGTTCCCTCTTTTAACTATACAAACTCAAAACAAGCCCTGTACTATATATAGTTGTGAAAGGAAATTCTCAAATATCTGAGCTTTTAAAAAAATATTGTATACCAGAGATGGAAAAGTGAGAAGGTGACAGGAAAAGAGCAGAGAATATAATTTAGAGTTCTGAAAAGATATGAGGGCACTGAATGGCAAGATAAACTGTTAATCATCATAGCTTAACACAGCAGGAAGAGCTTCATTTAATTGAAGTATTCTTGAAAGTATATGATGATTAACACATTGAAAAATAATGTTATTCATCTTTAAGGGCCTTAAATTGATAGTACTTCTGTTAAAAGTACATTTTAAAGTGAAAAAAAGAAACTAGCAATAAAATTATAAATATAACCGAATATAAACAACATCAACAAGGTAATGATTATTGTAAAATAAAAAGCAGTGTGACTGTTAAAGTGTTGCAGAAGTTTGAGCTTGCTGCTTTTTTGATGAGTGCTAAAGAATTGAGTACCATGCAGAAAAAAAGGGAACCTAACATGGTACTGCCGTGCAGAAAGGACATAACAGCAATAGTTCTTATCCACAAGATAAATATTTATCCTTAGTAACTAAACTAAAACATTTTGTAAGTATTTGAACATAATAAAACCATGAATCATAGTCAGTTCTAGGTTTATAAGCAGTCAATATACCAGAGAGCTTAGAATCCAAATTTTATAGATCACATTGTGCTATATATCATGTCCACTAAAAGGTGTGTGACCATCACATTTTACATTTGCAGATTCTGTACTGTGTCAGAGTTTGCAGAAGTTGGATCATAGTAAATAATGCAAGTGGACTACAGAAAAATAAAAATGTAGGGAAGATAAAATGAAATTAGGTACTTTCAACAAAAAAAGCTTGGGAGGAATAATCTGAAATTTAGGTACCCATTGGAAGGAAGAAGCCTGTGAAGCAGGAGTGGCTGAAGGACAATGGGCTTGCAGGGTGTGAATAGTTGGCAACTGAGTCTTGAATTTGCAATGTAAATGATCAGCATGAAGAGTTGGTAATGTACTGGGCCATGTACACGAAATTTGGTCTCTGGAAGAAAACTGTCTAGCAGAATCCCATTGGAAATTCTCAGCAAATCTTAATTAATAGGATTCAAAAAAAATCAATCAAAGCTATTTTTAATTTTTTACAGGAGATGTAAAGTAGAAAAGGATTTACATTTGTACAACTTGTGCAGGAAAAGGGAGATACTGTTGTTATTTACCTGTGAAAGAGAAGTTAAACATCAGAAAAGTCAAATAATTGTCTTGGATGATAAAAGTATTAGCTATTTCTAGCTATTTTCTAATGATCACATTCCAGGGTCCAGTACCAGGGTTGGCACACACTGTTAGTCCAAATAACAGCATGATCTTTCTGTCACCCAGCTTCTCCTCTGCTTTTCTGGGTATCACTCCCGTGGAGCACATTGAAATAAAGGAAAGTGAGGCTGGAAGAGAAGAGATACTGAGGGTTGTGGATTCTATTTCTGCTTCCAGGTCTTACAAAGATATTTTGACCAGTATATTCTATTTTTTGCTTAAATGCTGCCAGTGGAAGTAGTTGCAAACTGGAGTGCAGGACTCTGGGCCTTGATGGAGCTCCTCCGTGCTTGGCTCTCTGTGACTCAGTCTCTCCTCAGCCTTGAATGCTGGCATAGCAACGACAAGCAGGAGACAGAACAGGAAGTACTGAGTGAAATCAAGTAAAGGTATATACTGGAGGAAGGATTGTGGCAGGAAGATCTAGGCACTGGGGAGCTGCTCTGGGGAGCAGAAGGTGTGCATTTGGGAAGCTCAGAACCATTGTATGTAAAGCACGAGGTCATGACTCTAAGCAGTGATCCTGGTCTGACTCTTAATTATCTGCATTTTGGCTTTTGAACTTTTTGTATTTAACAGGTGAGATGATGCTATTTTGTGATTTAATGTTGATGTGTTTTAAATAGAGCTATTGGAATCGGATTTTCTGTTCTTGGAAGTCTCTGTTGGCTGAGATGTGCCCTTCTATCTCTATTACTACTGCAGGCTCTTCTTCTCCTAAGACCATAGACATTGTCTCCAGAAAGGTGGAGACAGTGAGTGCCCTCTTTCCATTTATCCATACACAAAAAATAACAATGTTTTCACTTAATTTATAGGGATGTGGCGGCTCTGTTTAGATGCCAAAATTAGTATTTCAGCTTAGTCCAATACAGTCTTCTGATTCTCTTGCTTCTCATTGTATGCTGCTGTCCCCTAGTTATGGCTGCAGGACAAGTACAAGAATTTGAATGCTTCACTGACTTTGACAAAGAGCTGGTTTGTCACTGGAAGGTGCCTGCACAAACCAATTGCTCCAAAGAATTCCGGCTCTGCTACAGCAAGGAAACTTCTTCTGTGTCGTAAGTATTTAGTAAGATGTTACACTGCCATTGTTAGAGCTTCAGATATCCTACAGCCACTATTGGCTTCAATTCCCTCCCTCTACTGTGGGTGTCCAGGACAAAATGTACTTCAGATTGTTCCTCTTAAAGTAAAATGGATTATTTCCTTTTAAGTAAAATGGGTTTCTGCAATTAACAGCACGCTCTGTTCAGTGGTCTACTCTTCTGTAGAACTTTCTGCTCTCTTAGCACAGAAGAGGGATCAAGTCCCACTGGTAGGAGTAGTAGGGCTCTTAGAAGTTTACAAAATCTTAACTTCATGCAGAATTTTACCTTCTTAATGAGAAATCTTGCTTGATTCACTGGTCTGTAGCCTGTAGATACTTTCAGCTGGAGCCCAGGTGATTGTGTCTGGGTCCAGTCTAACTCCATGTTCAGGCACAGACCTGTCCCTGTTCTGAGCAGGGCCAGTCATCATCTCTTACAAAAGAAGCTGCATCTGGGTTCTCCTGTTCTTGCTGCATGATTTCACCACACCAGCATTCAAATAACCTTGCTCATACACTGCAATAAACCTGTTCCTATATTAACAAGTTGTTACTATGTCCCTTTAGAAGCTGCAGTGTGACAAAGGGTGGTATTTGAGATCAGTCCTTAGGCTTTCTGTCAAGTTTTTAATTTGTGTGATACAGATATCCGGGGGGGGCTAGGGAGGGTGTGTTGTTTGGGCATCTCAATTTTGTTTTGAAAACATTTCTGGGCGCTGACTTGTCTCGGTTTTGATTAGTTGTGCATGTTGGGAAACTTGATTTCACCTTTTCAAGGATATAGTGTGTCACATTCTCTTAAACATCACATAATTTTGTGCCTGTTTTTCAGAAACATATGTGTTCCTGAGAATGAAAAAGACAGTTTAAGGTGCACTTGTACAATATATCCAGATTATTTTGTATCAGGCCTCACATATATTCTAGCCCTACAATTCAATGGCACTGATATGTGGAATTACAATGTTACACCAGCCCTTGTTGGTAAGAACTTGTTTACTTTGTCACTGGTACATCTGGTTCCAGGCTTTGCAATCCTACCTAACTTCTCATTCCTGTCACCAGAACAGTTTTTGCTTGTCAGAGGTGCAAAGTGTCTTGGTAGCTTAAATGCAAAATGCATTTGTTTTAGAAACCTCATTTTGGATTAGATTCTTAAGGAATTAATGTAAGTAGATTATCTTTAGTGCATTTTACTTGTGGCTTACAGGGTGAAGAGCAATCATGCTACTTTCAGTTTCTAGAAAGAAACTTGGTTATTCCTACTGAAATTCCTCCCATTCCTGTCTCTATCATACTCTGATTTTTCATGCTAATTGAATCATGCTACATGAACAGAGGATTTTTCACAGCAATTGCTGTTGGATTTTAACAGCCAGTGATAAAAAGTTAAAGAGACTGCTCCTAAACAGGACAGAGTGTAGACACATTTCATGTTTCTGCCTAGGCCCCCAGTTTGGTCAGAACAGTGTGCTTGTTGGTAACACCTGTCACCTTAAACACTCAGAAAAACCATTTTCATACCTTAGGCAGGACGGAGAGCTGGTTCTTTTCAGAATTCTTGATTGATACTGCTGCTTATCTGCCAAATAAGCAGAAGTCCACATTGATTTCCTAGAGACAGGGAGCCAGGACAGCTTGGCTGCAGCACTGGAGCTCTGTGCCCACTCAGCCTCACAGCTGCTGCTGTCAGGGCACAGGTTGTTCCCGTTTCTCCAAGCTGAAAGCTGCATCCAGTGCACCAAAAGGCCGTGCAGTTCAGCCAGCTTGAAGAATCAGTGACTGTTAATAAATACCCTGAAGTTGCTCAGATTTAGCTTCTCTATTCTTGTGCTACAGCATAGTGAAAAGGGCTAAGTGCATTGACTGTGATGGTAATCTGGTCTTTGGTGAATGCTTCTCTCTCTGCTTCTCTCTATCAGTGCTCTCCCATTACCCTGGTCTGTATTTTTTAACATACAGTTAAGCCGAGGGCCCCCAAAAATCTTGCCGTTGAGAAAGCTGAAAATGGTAACTTCAATCTGAGTTGGGAGGAGAGCCACTCTCATTCATCCTTGCTCTCTGGACAGCCAGTCATCTATGAAGTGAAGTACTGGAGGAAGCAGCACCCAACAGAGGTAAGAGACACCCAGTCTCTTCCTTTTCTGTCTCCAGAGTTTTTAGGTTTAAAAAGTCCCCTAGAAAAGCACTTCATGAATAATAGTGTAAGGGCCAGTGAGAGCAAGTCCCACAGTGTTCCCGATTACACACTTGCCACAGTTCACTTTGCCCCCAAGATAGTTCAGCTGGATGTCAGGGGATTGAAACTTCTGCCTGCCACCTCAAAATGGTCTGCTGCTTGCAGCAGACAAGGTAGAGATTGAAAATGCAATGCTTTTGTTCCCTCAACTTCATTTGCTCCTTAGACATCAGGAAGCTGGGGGTTGGTGGCTCTGTGGGGCAGGTGAGGCATTTCAAACACCCTTCTGAGTAATCCAGCATTTCTGGGCTGGGCTTCCCTGGTAGCGGAAGAACGCACGTGGTGACAGGTGACAGGTGACAGGTGCCACCTGCTGATGACATGAGCTGCAGTGTCATACCCAGCCATTCTTTTGTGAAAGGTTACTGAGACACATAACACTATTGATGTTTAGTTGCTGTCACTAACCCTTCACCCTATAAAGAAATCAAAATGAATTCCCTCATTTTCTTTTCAGGTTTCTGTAAAAGCAATTAACTACCAGGCAAAAAGCTTTGAGATTACTGCAAGCTCCTTGAAGAGAGGCTATGATTATGTTGCAAGTCTCAGGTGTAACTACATGGACTTCCCAGCCTACTGGAGTGAATGGAGTGAAGAAGTTGAATTTCACTATGGTAATAGTGTCAGAAATAGCAGCTTGCTAAAAGGATGGTACATAGCCTTACACACTCTGCTGCTCTCTTGGAGGAGAGTTATGGACTCTTCATCATTTTGAATGTAATGTGAATACGTTGGGAAACTAAGGAAGAGAAGACCAAGGGAGGTTGGATTGCTTAACCTTGTGAAAAAAAAAAGGCCGAAAGCAATGTGCTTATTCTTTATAAATATTTCATGAGTAGACAACAAGGAAGTAGAAGAGATATTTGAACTAAACAGCAACATTGATGTGAGAGCAAGTGGGTATAAATGAACACGATATATCTGTATATATCTATATATATATCTAGATAGATATATAGCTATATAAATATATGTATATAGGCTGCAAATCAAACAGTATTTTAATAGAGGTGTGAGAGTTTCTAAAAATCCCTGAAGAGCTACAGAGAGAACAAGAAACATAGCTGCCCTGCAGTGGCAATGATAATGCCATTTTAGGCACTGTGTGACAGGCCTTGTCCCTGAGGGCTGGCAGTGGCCTTGCAGTACCCATTGGCTCTCCCAGCTCCTGCCGTGTCCAGTAGCTGAGCACAGCACCTGCACCAGAGGGTCTCTGGCACACCACATGCCATCTAGGGCTCTGCTATTTATGTGCTGGCAGCTTTATTTTACGTCCTTTAAAAAAGCTTTTTTTTTTAATTGCAGAAGAGCAGCAAGTGATTTGGTTATGCCAGTGCTTGCATTCAGATGCACATTCACATGTAAATATTTGCTTGTTTTACAGATTACGAGGTGAAGGCTGAAGACATTCTGCAGATGGCTGTGCCCACATCCTGCATACTGATCATGGCAGGATCTGTAATTTGTTACTTCTGTTTCACTAAGTAGGTATCCTGCTTGTTAGAGTTTATAGAGTAATGGTTTATAAGGATATCAGTATAGCTATTGATTAGCTGAATGTCTGGTAGCAGAGAAATCTAATGTTTTGGGTTTTCTCAGCGCTTTTATCTAGCTGTCTGTGAGCAGAGATTTTATAAACACAAGTCAGTTGCACTGTGTCATTTTCTGAACAGTCTTTATTAATCTTACTGGAAAAGGCTTATTATAGGAGGAGGTTGTCAGTTTTGGGCCCTAATCTCTGCTAGAGTTCAAGTAGTGATGGATGAATACCTTTATTTCTTTCAAAATTTTTAAATGGTAATGTGAAAATGGGATGTCTCTTTCACACTTCATTTTAAACACGATTAGAACAGGTGACTGTCATTGTGCAGAGCAGTCACATACCAAACATACAAACATCTTTACAGTGGTTTAATGAAAAGCAGGAGATGCCCAAAACAAACACTTTCTGTTGCTGCAATGCAGATGCCTAAAAGGAAAAGGAGAAAGAAGAGAGAAATGTACACCGGTTAAGCCCAAGTGCAGTCAAAAGAAGTAATTTTCATTCTTCCCTTGCAGAGTGAAGAAAGAATGGTGGGATCAAATCCCAAATCCAGCAAAGAGCCATTTGGTTGTAAAAAATGTCAAGGTAATTTAAAAGCTTTGCAAAAGATACCTTTTCCTGATCATCAGAAGTAGAATATGTAATAAATTTTATTGTCTGTCTAGTGTAAGGGATACTAAGTGCATCTCATATCCATCCTAAATCTCATTTGTATCTTTATTAGTTTTCAGTTCCGTGCCATTTTGATGAAATTAAGTTCCCATTCCATGACTTAAAGCAGAGTCATATGGAACAACAAATGTAAGTAAGATTTTAAAACAATTCCTCTGCTTTGCAGCATAAAATTGTTTCCTGTACCATAAATATTAACTGTCCTTTCCTTTTGACTTCCAAAAACAGAAGTTGCAAGAACTGTCAGGCTCAAAGTTTGTCAAGCCAAAACTTCAAGGGAAAAGATAACATCAGAAATGTTGAGACATCTTGCAGTTGCCACAGCAAGTCTGGAGAGTGTTTGCCAAAAGGCAGCAGTGCAGTTTTAACCCCTGATACAATACCAGTTGAAGAGTGTATAGAAATCTGTGTATGTTTAACAGACAGTGAAACTGAGAGCCAAGAAGAAACTGGCAACCAGATCACCATGTTCAAGCCTTGTGAGAGCAGCATTGGTGCTTTCAGAGAGCACACTGAACACAATGAGTTACTAGCTAACATGTTCGATGCACTCCTGGCAGATGAAAATAACATGCAAGACAATAAGGGCCCAAACATCCCCACAGCTGAGAAGAAAACCTTAGAGAACGTTGGGTCAGAAAATCCATCACAGCGAAATCCAAAAGAAAGTGCAGCCCAGAGTCTGCAACCATGTGATATTTCTCATACAACTCCCCTTTTCACCAAAGCCTCTAAAGATGACTACAATTGTAGTACAACCAGCAAAGAGTCAGAACTATCAGAAGAATCCTTTGAATCTGGCTATCAGAGCTCCAGTATAAATTCTGCTTCTCTGGATGCAAGAGATCTTCAACAAATGGTTCATCAAAGCCTTTTTCTATGTAGTTCTGAAAGTGAGCTTGACTCTTGTGTCCTGATGCAGGAGTCTACAAACAAATCATTGTCTGGAGCCAAAACAGACAGAATAAACAGCCCTGCAGACAAGAGTTTTGATACCTTTGTGTCTGCATCCATGGGCTTGTGTGGTTCTGCTTACAAGAGCTGTGACACCCTTTTGTCTCCATCCCTGGAACCCTGTGGCTCTGCCTACAGGAGCTTTAATACGCTTGTGTCTGCATGCAAGGAACCAAGCAGCTCTGCATACAAGAGCTTCAATGCCCTCGTGTGTCAGTCGATGGCTAACAGTAGCTTTGAAAGCTTGCCCTCCTCACTGCCTTTGGCACAGCTGTCAGAGATGGCCGAATGCAGCTGCAGAGATCAAAGCACTCGGCCTGCTGGCAGCCAGACGTGTTACAACAACAGCTACACATCTCCCAGCACTGAGCTTGATTTTCCAAACACCTGTTCAGAACAGACTGGTTTTCTGTCTTTCTCCACACATGCAAATGAGGATGCTTCAGCTTTTCTTTCAGAGGAGGAAACACATAAGCACGTAATATATCAAAATGTTCAAAGGAAAGCAGATATCATTTCTTGCCCCATTGCACCTCGGCCGTCTGGTTATCAGCCTTTTGGGAGTGCAGGTAAACACAACGGTCTGTACTGGGACAGTGACAATGAAGTTATCTCTACATCACTGTATGAATCCTTCATTAATCTGTGCAACAGCCTGAGTGAAGCACCTCCAGATACTGCAATCTATGAACCTGACCCAAGGATAAAGGACAGTGTATGTTTGACTGTTCAGAGTTCTGACTGCACCATTGTCCCAGGTTTAGCATCTAGTGAGAATGACACACGGACTAGTGATAGCAGCCCTTGGATCAACAGTGCTAATGAGCTGTCTGGTGATAGCAGTGATGAAAATACCAGCAGAGATGAACAGCTGTTACATTTGTTAGAGATGAAATGTCAAGATTTAAACAGCAAAGAAAGAGCTACAAAGGGAACAAAATGGAAAAGCTTTAACCCTTCTGGTGAAGTAATGCAAGAGGGTGGTGATAACAGACTAAAATACTGACTTCCACTGCTACTCACACAACCACTTGAGGGAACTTGGAGATGCAGGGGGAAGTGAAGAGATGCTGAAGCATGCAGATGGGGGTGGGGGGTGTGGCTCAGCAGTCAGCTTACCAGCATGGCTGGACAGTGTTGGGCTAAACTTAGAAAAACTGCAGAGCCCCTGGAGCTCCATGGCTCAGACAAGGTGCTACCTTGTCATTTTATTAGTAACTCCTATCCTGATTCTCACACCATTCACAGTGAGGACTCTAGACTGACACTTGCAGTTAAAAATAAGACCACTAGAACTGTTAATGGAAAACAACAGGAAGGAAAAAACAAACTTGTGCAAACCCTTGCTCAAGAGGACACCTGCTATATGGAGGTAGCCTAGCCACATAGTGCAGCCACTAGACTGAGCTAGTCTTTGGAAATAAACTGTATGACGAGTTGAATTGTTCCTTGTTTTTTCAATCATGGCTGAAGTGAGGGCTGCTCTAGGTCACTCATGATTCACTGGGTTGTAGCACTGCTGCCTGCCTGGGTCTGGCAGCCAGGACATGATGCAGACCCCTGGGGACAGCTGGGGTTAGCACCCAGCAGTGGCAGCCACAGCTCTACAGGGACAAAGCCAGAGCTGGTGTCTCCACCTGTGAGCAATCTCTAAAAGGGAGCAGCAGTTCTTAGTGCAGCTTCTGTGGTTATTGTCCTGGCTGTGTGTTGCTTGGGAAGCACACAAAGGTGATGTGGAACGTGCTGACACACCTGAAAGTGGGATATAGGTCCAGCTCCAAAGGGAAGGTGATTGATTTATCACACAGCTTCCATAACTTACTTATTTTGGGTTCCATAACTTACTTAAGTCCTGTGTGTTTAGCCCTGACATGGGGTGTTAGTTTCTATATCTGCTCAATCAAATAAATGAAATAAAGATTACCAGCATTTGCACTTACACAGTGCTATTATTGGTGATTAATTCCCTGTCTCGTAGAAACAAGCAGTTACTTCAGCAGCTGTAAAAGGAATCAGGGATTTCTAAGCAGTGTTTCTTCCCAGAAAGATTATCCAGCATGTGGTCCAACTTTACCTGCATGGAATTTTTTTTTTTTTTTTGCTTCTTATTCTTGTCCAGTCAGAACGGGACTTAGCCTGCATCTTAAAGGCAGTATGTACTTCTTGTTGGAGAATTATTCAAGAAGTTTTCTGACAGCTTCTCTACAGCATAATTATATATTTCAGTATGGTAAATTCCACCCTAGTATGTTGGCAGCAGCGTAAAACGGTTAAGAACCATTAAGTTGTGGCGTTATTCTATTGAAATGTATACATTTATTCTCATTTAGAAAACTCTATTTGTATTGACATTCATAAGGAAGGAAACCATTATGCTAAGCACAGCATCTCTCTTCCAAGTGTGTAAAGTAGTAGAGATAGCTGTAGGGACACCAGTGGTCCTTTCTTTCCCTTCTTCTCCTGTTCTCTCTCTTTGTGAAATCCTCCATGAGGGCTCGTGCTTGGCTGGAGGGATCTGCTCAGGCCAACTTCTGTGCAGGACTTGTTTCTCTGCTGAGCCCCAGCTCCATTCTGCCTTTCCCTGGCTTTTTCCTTCCACATAGCCATGCCCTGCTGTCTGCACATTTCTTTAAGATGGCTTTCTGTGTGGGGTTATTCTTCCCTTTCTCTCCCTTCACTGTTTCTCTGGTGAAATGGAACCGAACTCTCAGAGAAGGGGGATCCCTGTTCCTGTGTCTGTATCAGCCAGAGCTGGGGACAGCAGGGCTGAGGGGGGCAGCTGTCTGCCTCACCCCCTCTGCCACAGCCATGGCTGTAGTGCAAGTTCTAGCCCTGCTGCTTTTACCATCCAGAGCTCTTGGCACGCAGTGAAACCCAGGTGGGTTTCAAGTGACAGATTTCTAGCTGAAGCTGGTGATCTGCCCCTTGGGTGCTGAGTGGGAGTTGAGAGTTTGAGCTGGAAGTGAGGGGTCTGGACTAAGGTCACCACCTGGGGACCAGCATGCCTCCTGCCAGGACAGAGAATTACTGATCATGGTAAGCATAAATTCAGTGGTTTTCAGTTTGTTTTGAAAGACTGCCATGCAGATGAAGGCTTGTGCCAAGTTTTAGCCTAGTTATAATGCCATTTATTACTTCCTCACAATCACTCCACCTCCACATCTTTCTCACCTGAGTGTCTACCAAATATTAGCAATCTGACTCACCATGAATGAAGTCGTTTCCTGAGAAAAAGAGCTGATGCATTCATAGTTCAGGAGAAACTAGTTCAGATATACTCTTTCTCCATTGCAGAAATGCCACAGGTTTGGCTTATTTTCATTTCTCTTCTGAACAGAGTTGGCTCCTTGGAAATATGCACCCGTAAGGATCACCTGGTGGAAAATTTCCATCAATCATGAGGTTTATCATTGCCCATAGGAAACTAACATTTGCCACATGACAAGGGTGATACTAGCATAGAGCAGGATGTTGAGGATGTAGAATCAGTTCTTGGGAGTAGGGACAAGTTAATTTAGGGTGCAGGAGGGGTCAGCTTTTTAAATAGTTTGCCTCTGCATCTTGCTTTGTGACCCTACATTGTTGAGGCAGGGTGCAAGGATGTCACCCACCACAAGCTACAAACTCTATATAAGAAAACCAGCTCTTTTAAGTGTTGCAATGATAGGGCCAAAAGAGCAAAGGGTTAGAAAACTAAATGAGAGGGCTGTAACTCCCCAAACCCTGCTCCCTAAGGTTTACTTCTGACCATGGAATTATGTGACAAAACTCCTGAGAGAGGCTGAGAAAACAGTTTATTTTCTCCTAACCCTGTCTTTTCTGTAGAAACCTCTTAGAAAGCATGATTCCTGCAGTTTGTGTTCTAGCCCTGACAGTGGTGCTTCCAAAGTGTGTTATTTTGTATGCAGTTGCTTTTACAAAAAATAGGCAACTTTTATTAATTGCTGGGAGAGCTACACCTGTGCAATGCCCAAGCATGTGTGCTCATGCATGCACACAAAGAGATCATTTCTCACCTCTGCAGATGACTGAATACAAGATCAGCTCCAGGCTCCCACGTGATGATGTATCTTGATCTCACATTACCCGGAATTTTAGTATTTTTCACCACGCTTCTGTGACCGAGACTTTGCAGTCGTGGCCACAGCCCTCAAGGCCTCTCCTACTGCACCAAAGCCACAAGGTCGGAAGCCGAGCAGCAGCTCAGCAGGAACCTTCTGGTAAAAAAAGCAGGGAGACCAGTGAACTGGTTTGGTTTTCAACTGCAGGACTGTCATCTTTCTAAGCAGATTGCTCCAAAGCAAAAAAAACCACAGTCAAGTGAGGAAGAGGGCACTTTCCAGACACCTCAGTAACAACCAAAGTTAAAGCTTAATGAATTGCCATACCTTGGCCTGTTTTCTCATGGTGCCTAATAATAGCTATCAGCAGCACTGCTGTATTGCCAAATCCTGAGTGTTTTCATTCCTTGTGACAAGCTGTTGAGAGGAACTTTACATCTCTGCTGAACTCTGGCCAAAGGTACTTTGCTCTGTTTGTCCCTTTTACTGTCCTGCTTCCAATCTGCCCCTCCTCTGGCTTTCTATAACATTGAAATGTCCATACTGTCCCATCAGGAAGAGTGCAAGATGAAAGAAGAAAAACTGGCAGCAGCCCTAGTTGAACAGAATGGGGAACTGGCTGCTGTGGCACATTTAGCTGCGTGAGGGGAGCAGCAGCTGTTTTGTTCTTTTTTTGCTCTTAGCCAGAATGTTCTCTATAAAACTGACCATCTGTGCTTGAGACCTAAGATTCTATATTCTGAATGCAGAGAGGCAATTGTCATAGCAAGAGTTGTTACAGTGCAGCCTGTGAGTCACACCCTGTCTTTGGTAGAGGGATTTACTCTGCCAGACCTGCCCCAGTCCATGGAGCGTGGCAGGAGTCCTAGGGAGCTCCTGTCCCAGTGAGCAGCAGTGAGAGATCCTTTAGTGATGGATCAGCCATTTCCTTCTTCCTGCCTCTACCCAATTGTAAAGAGCAGGGCATTTATAACAGTGTTTGTCTTCTACAGGGCTACCAGGTTGGTGACTAATACATAGCACTGGGATTTTCCTACTTGGTGCTGTTTCCCCAGCTCTTAGAAATGGGGAAATTTGCTATAAGCTGAAGGGTTTGAGGTTGACTGCTTCTCCCCAGCTCAGCTACTGCTGGTTTCACTTGCAATGAGCCACCCACACAGCAACAAGAATTATAATGAGGTGAGAAAGCACTGGACTGCATTCTGGGGGTAGAATTTCCGTGCCTGGGTCAGCCTTATAACCAGTCCCCAGTTCTTATTTTGATGCCCTAGAGAGTTTCTGTGAGAACCAGGTGTTCTTTGGCTATGGCTAGCCATGGAGCCAGTGCCTGTGGTAAGTAGCCAGCTGATGTCTGGAGGGGCTGGCTTGTACTGTGCTGCAAGTGCTGGGCAGTGCACATGTCTGGCAGGCTCTGGGCTTGAAGGTTGTGCAGGGCAGTTCACTGCTGGGTGGTCTTCCCCCTCCACTGTGTGGCTGAGGTGCTTCAGAAACACACAGCATGGTCCTCCACAACATGAGGGGAGGCAGTGAAATGCCTTGTTTCCTCCACTCCAGCAGGCATTAGGATACACAGTTTGGCATGTGCTGACTATTTCATGGCCTCATTCTGAGCTGTGCTGGGCCCCTGCAACAGACACTCTTGATCAGAAGCATTAGGAAATCTTCCCACTTCTGGTGAAGCTGCCTTTGCTGTTCCTAAAACTTAAAAACTTCTGGCTCTGCTCCTGTATTGGGTTTGTGTAGCAAGATTTTATAGTGGAGAGGGGCTACAAGGGTGGCTTTTTTGAGAAGCCACTCCCTTCCTGCCTTTTCTCCTAAAGACACAGTGCATTGCTGCCAGTGACATGAGAAGCCACTGAATGTGTTAGAATTGCATGTTCTGTGGTTTACAGATGCAGCTGGCCACCCCTGTGCACCTTGCTGTGTGAGCCCTTAGCTTTGCTTTGCACATGCTGCCACAGCCAGAGATTGAAGACAGCTGGTGTGGTTTTCACCCTGACTGCCAAGGGCTGCTCCATTGCTGCACCAGCCCTGAGTGTGGCAGAGCTGCAGCCAGGCAGCATAGGTGGGACGTGCTGATTTTTGACAGCTGTGGTAAAATAGAGCTCCATGAGATGCAGATGAGGATCTTGCCATAAATAGCTGTGTGCCAGCAGTAGAGTTCTGCTCTTGGTGCATCCCCACTTGCAGAGATCTGGGGACAAGCTGATAGATGTTGCCTCTAAGGGGGTCAGTTTCTGCCAACCTTCATGAAAGGAGCAGAGAGTTCTGCCAGCTCAGGTGAGCACTGTGGGAATGCATGACAGTCTTGCTGACCTCGTGCAGAGATGCTCTGGGCACGCTCTGCATGGTGCAGCTGCGGATGTTTGGTTTGAGCCTGAGCAGAGCTGTAGGTTTCTGTTCCAGATGGTCAGGGTGAGTTTACAAGCACAGTCATTCCTGCTTCTCTTTACCAGTATGTGTCTGGTGATTTCCTAAGAGAAGACACAAGCCTCTGTGCAATCTCCTCCATGTGAGCAGGACGTACATAGCCACATCTCTGTGAAGGTAAGCCCTTTTCCTCTGGCTAGAGCCAAAGTGATGTCCTGTTACTACAGCGTTCATGCAGTATGGGCTCGGACTTGATGGATCTTGGGGAAAACCAGAGGCTGACCCCAGTGTTGATGGCTACAGATAAATGGCAAAGGCAGCAGGGAGGTAGGATGCTGGGGTCTCTGCAGGTGACATTCAGTATTCTCCTGACTGAAAGCAATGCACTCCTGTCTCCCCTGCAGCGTCCTGTGTCACTCACAGCCACCACCTGTGGGGCTTGGGTGTTTTTCAGCCTGCTGCTTTGCTGACTAACACCTCCGCTTTCTCCCCAGCTCATTCATATTTTAGCCTGTTTCCTGAGCTTTGAGGTGGTGGCTGCTTGCTTTCCCTTCCAGCAGAGCGCTGTTACTCATGTCTCAGCTGTTCTCCTGCCATTTTTTACTTATCGTAATGCATGATTATCTTCCTCCTAAATGTCACCAGCCGGTAATGGTGCCTTTGACCCTAAAGTTATGCCAGGTCTGTATCTTTGACACTGCTGGGCATATGGGTTTAATTCTGTTATGACAGGAAGAAAGTACAGAGGTAGTACTGTTTCTCTGGAGTTTTTTCTCCTTCTCTTCAAATCATGGACATGATAACTCCAAGTGTGAATAGTTTTATATCCTAGAGAAAGGAATTGTCAGCTCTGAATGTTGTTTTTTTGACCTGTATTCTTGCTGATCAATATATACAGATGTTGCCCCTCTTCCAGTGATGACAAAATGGTTTTGGGTCATGAATAACAGAATCTACCAAGCCTTCCCTTGTGTGCCCTTCATGCTTGCTTCTTGGTGAATATTACTGCTGCAGGCTGGGCTGAAATTACACTTTTTATGAGTTAAATTTGAGGAAAACAGGCCTTTTGGTGCAATATGTTTAAATTTATAAAGCCATTGTTCTTACAGTGCTACCAGTGTTCCTGTTCTTAAAATTAGCTCTGTAATATCAAATGCATATTATTGCATGGTTTAATAGTGTGGCTTGTGACTGCCAAACTATCACTCCTTGGACTGATCACACATGCTGCTCTTTCCCTCCCTCCTCTGCACAAATAACAGGATTGGCACACCTTGGAGAGTCCTGTGTAATCAGGGGACAAAAGCTATACCACTGTCCTGGTGTGCTTTCCTCACAGCAGAAAGATATTACTAAGAACCTGTGAAATTTCTGACTTAGCCACTCAGCCTCATTAACCCTGTACTGTGCCACACTGCACCCAAGAGTGGTGGCAATCTCCAGAGCCCACAGGCACCATCAACTGAGACAAGTCTTCTCTAGAAGCTTGGGCCTGACATTGTGCCTGTAAATGATCCACAAAGCATGCAGAAGGGAGAGCTGCTCTTTCTCAGAGGCTGCTCTAAACATGATGAGGAGCTTTTGGACTTAGTCCTGTGACCTTCTCCATACATGTTATAACAGTGTTCAACCAGCTCAGTTATCAGCAACTGCCTGGCAAGCATGGTCAAGAGCCACCTGCCCTGAACCTTCCAAAACATGTTTTTCACAGGGTGAGTCAGAGGCATGGAAGGCTGAACACGGAGCTCCCTCATCCTACACCCTGCTACTTCGTGCCAGCTTCTCTGCTGCAGTCTTCTTGGGTTATTACAGCTCCTTGTTCTCGCTCCTAGCTCCTCCTGCCTTCACACTGTGCTGTGTGTGCCAAATCCCTCCATAGTGCTGCTCATTTCCCTCTTGTCCAGGGATACAGTGAGTGTGCACGGGTTCCTTGAAGCCCCTTTAGAGGTATGATTAGGTGAGCTGCTGGAGCCTCCCTCAGTGTCAACCTTGCAATCGAAAGAGACCCACCCAGACACAAGTCACAGGCATGAGATGTGAAAGGGGTGAGCCCCTCACCTGTGTAGGAGCCACATAACCTCCCTGCCCGTGGCCTGAGGATTAGTGCTGTTGCCCTGGGACCATTTGGGGAAGGGATGGAAGCTGAACACGGTGGTGCCTGACTGTCTCCAATGTGGCACATGCTGTACTATGCAGTTTGGCTTAGCCCTTTAATGCCTTGACACTGATGCCTCCTCACTGCACAAGTCTAAGTCCACCAGCCTCGCTATGACCTTTTAGATATGAGGTTTGTGAGTTTTTATAAACTCTCCCACCCTTTTCTCATGTAAGAAAGCAGAGCAGTACAGTAATAAATGTTGTGTGGGTGTTTGGACCTGAATTCATCACCTCCTCTCACCACATCCTTCTGTTGGCACAGTAATACTGATACAGTGGTGACGTCAATCTCCATTTATTGCTGTGTATTCCAATACACCACGGCCCCTGTAGCCCCAAAGCACAAGTAGGCTTTGCTCTTACCCAGTGCTGAGGAGACCCACCTGCTCCCCAGCTCCACAGGCTGGGTCTGCACTTAATGATTTAGCCAGGCTTCATGGAAGTGTTGGAGGGCTGAAATGCACAGAACAGGGCAGGTAATGTCCATGTTTCCACCAATTTTCCCTGCTGCCAGTTTGTTCCTGCTTGATATTTTAACTTCACTGTAAATCTTTCTTATAGCTGATGTGGCCCTTGTGTCCCAGCTGTCATTGCTCTTAGCCTCTGGACAGTCAGAGCATCCCTTTGTCCCCCTCTTGCTTCAGCTTTGTGATTAGATGGTAGTGTGCATTGATAATGATTTTTTTTCCAAGAAGAAAGATTATTTGGGCATATCACTGGTGGACTGTGTCTTCCACTCTTTTTTTGCTTGAGTGCAAAAATTCATTTTCTCATGCTTGGAAATCCCATCATTTTTTCTCTTTCTTTTTTGGGGTTTGCTCTTTTTTTGGTTTTTGGGGTTTTTCGATTTGTTTGTTGTTGGGGTTTGTTTGTTTGTTCTGTGTTTTGTTGTCGTTTGGGGTGTTGTTTTGTTTTTTAAGTATATACATTTCCTGGAAGCACTTCAAACTGTGAGCTTAGACTGCATCCCTGTTTGGCAGCTTATAGCATCATATTTCCTGATCCTTCACAAAAACAACCTTCATAAATGTCTGTCTGTATTGATCCTATTTCCCCTTCTCTGGAATATTAAAAACTTGTAGCATCATTTACATGTGTGTATTATGAATGGCTACTCAGCTTTATTGCTGTGGTCTCATAAGGATACTACAAAGTTTGCACAAGTGGTACTTGGCAGCTGTACAATGCTTGACATTTAATAAGAAGTGTCTGTGTTGCAAGGATGCATAAAGCTGATTCAGAGTCCCCATTTCACAGACCAAGAAAATGAAATGAGGAGGTAGAAAGAACATTTCTAATGCCAGACTGAGAATAAGTTCCTACCTCTGCTCATTTCCCACTGTCATTCTTTCCTCCAGGTGAACAATCACATGCTGACAGATGGAAGCAAATGGGAAGGTGTAACAAATGGAGGGATGTATGAAAGGTGTGGGTCACAATAACAGATTTGTTGGGGGCCTGACTGGAGCATGCTTCACAATTTAGACTGCTATACATCTCCATTGAAATCAGGAGGTCTTGGACATCAAAGACCACAAAGACGCTGCTGCAGATCTGCAGCTTTCCCAGCTCTTCTGCACATGTCTTGTCTGTCCATGTCTTGTCATAACAATCTGGAGCACAGCCAGGAGGTCAGACAGTTTCAGCAGTACTGAAACTGTCTATGGTGCTCTTAGAGGTCGCAGTCCTTTCCTACCACACCGAGGTAGAGAAAGAGGAGATAAATGTTGGGCTAATCTGTGGGCACTGGCAAGGGTAAGAGATGAGACAGTGGCATCCCAGCTGAGGAAATACTGTCTCTTTGTTTCAGCCATTTTAGCAGATCCTACTGGTTTTCTTATTTTTGCTACTGTGCTCTTCTTCAGGAATCTTCCTTCTAGATTTACAAAGCTGTATGCTAACCTTTCCCCATTGTGTAATGGCAGCCTCTGGTAACTCTGTAAGACATCTACCCAAAGAGCTGCTTGGGCTTCTTGCTTTGACTTTATCCTGATCAGTCCTGCCTATGCCTTCAGGTTGATGGTACCATTCTCTGAGCAGAGGAGGGAAAGCAGGAGAGGCCATTGAAAGAAACCACTGTCTAATAAGTAAAAGCAGCAAAGACTTTCCTGCACAGCTCTGTTCATTTAGGCAGGAGTGAGCATAAAAGCAGGGAGCTACTGCAATATCGTGAATACGAAGCATCAGAGGCCCTGCCGATTGGATTCTGAAATAAGTGGTGGGTCTGCAGACCTCTCTGAGGGCCCAGCCCAGCCTTCCTTCCTTCCCTCCTGGCAGCAAGTTGCCTTTCTTTGTTTTTCATGGTGGCCAAGAGTGTGACAGTCACAGTACAAAGTGATGCTGAGATGGGCTCATGGTGCAGCCAGTCTTAGCATGAAGTCAAGTGAGCAGGTTTCAGATGGCAGGATAACAGCAAGCCTTCCTCAAAGAAATGAGGATTTGGAGAAGAGCAGTGGAAGATGGGTGAGATCACAAGGTGCAGTTAGACAGTGAACTGTATCTCAGTGACTGGGGACTGCCCCATCAGAAGTAGTGGTAATGGCAAGAGTTATTATACAGAGAAAACTTGGACAGCTTGGACTAGAGGGGTCGAGAAAAGGTGTTTACTCAAGGCAATGTGTGATGCAGAGAGAAGGGCCCCTGCCACTGGCATCAGGTGAGGGAGGATGGCAGGGTGCCTGGGGCTCCTTGCTGAGCTGGAAGGAGCTTCATGGGCAGGGTTTGTTTGGCAGGAAAGAAGAGACAGCAGCTGCATCATTGCTTCCACAGCACAGTGTCTGTGACACCTCCAGAGCGAGTCTTGCTGGTCTCACCTGGGCACTGACACTCTGAGATCACGTCAGTGAGCCCACATGAGGCTGCAGGGGCTTTCTGGTGGCTGCTAAATTTGTTTTGCTTTCATTATTTGAGTAAACCTGGGAAATTTTTAAACACCACAAATGTTCCCCAAGTCTTAAAGGCTTCGTGGGTTTCTCTCTGCTGAGTGACTGCCTGGGTATTTGCTGCTTGTGGTAGAAGCAGCATAGACACCCCAGGACCTGGATGCCTGCACCCCCCCCCCCATTATGAATACAGGCTGAGGGACAAACAGATTGAGACTAGCTCTGCTGACAAGGACATGGGGGCAGTGGTGGACAAAAATCTGGCCATGAGCAGGGCATATATGCTGGTAGCCCAGAAACCCCTGTGTGGTGGGGTGGCAGCTAATGGAGGGGATTCTCTACTCTACTCTGCTCTCTTGAGACCCCACTTGGTGTTCTGCCTTCAGGTCTGGGACCCCCAATGTGACAAGCATACAGAGCTGCTGTAGTGAGTCCAGAGGGGGCCACAGAGATGCTTCAGGGGCTGGAGCACCTCTGCTATGTATGACAGGCTGAGAGAATTTGGCTTGTTCAGCCTGGAGAAAAGCAGGCTTTGAGGAGACCTTGCTGCAACCTTTCATTAATTAAAGGGAAGCAGTAAGAAAGATAAGGACAGACGTTTTAGCAAAGTCTGTTGCAATAGGCAAAGGGGTGATGGTTTTTTAAATTAAAAGAGTAGAGCAGACAATGTGGCATGGCATATGGGCCCTTCCTGTTGTCTGTGCATCCTTACAACTTGCTCTCAATGAAACTATATCCCCAAAATAATGCACATAGCTTCTCCAAAGTCTTGTCCCATTTAAGAACAGCTTGAGAAAACGGTGCTGAATTCTGTAACAGGTATCAACAGCCAATACTCTGCAGGGAGCACATTTTAAGTCTTTCTGTGCACATCCATGTGTTTCTATAAATGTTTAAATGCTGTGAAAACACAGCCCTAAATGCATTATATGACTTGAGGGCTTTTTCTTGGAGGAGGGACTGTGGATTGAACAGTCATTGGTATGTGATGCCATTTCCTCTGTTTTAAACATCCTGCTGTCGTCTTCTCTGAAGACTTTCTTGCAGGTTTTCCTCACTAAACCCTCAGGGCAGCCTCTCCCTGCAGTCAGCACTGTTCTCCTGGATGCTACACAGAGGGGCGGGGTTTTTTCTTTTTTTTTTGTCTGGTCTGCCTTTCTGGAGTCCCTTAACTAGATATTTCATGCTTATTTAACTCTGGGTAGGCCAAATCAATGAGTTCTCACTAGCTTTTTTCACACAGACCCACAATAATATTCAGACTCCATTTGGCTAATTCACTGCATAGCTGTTGAATCTGCAGCAAGTCACTTCTAGTGGCAAGCCATTCCTAGTTGCAGGATACTTAAGGAGAAAGAATAGGTTAGCAATTAACCCAAGAGTCTTTCTTGTTGCCTGGATAGCCAAGCTGCAGTCACTTCGCTGCTTTCTTTGTGCATGTGCTGGCAAGGAGCAAAGATTTCACTGATCTTGCTTTTGGCAGGTTGGCAGGCTGTTGGTCATCTCCCCCTTAGCCCATGGAATAAACACACAGAGACAGGAGAGCTGAAATTAATCGTCTAAATAAAGCACTTTACTTTTAGATGTTTAAACCAAAGCAAGATTAATTCCACCTCCACCTTAATCAAGTAGATTGCTCAGACAATCTACTCAGACAATCTGCTCTGCTCAGACAGCAGAGTTTTAAATTGGCTGTGGGAGTCTTGTTTGCAGTAGTTATTTTGTTTTGTTCTGTTTTTTTCTTCCCCAGGACATCCAGTGAGAACCACTATGAGGAACAAACGATGGCTCCAGAATATTTTCTTCTGCCTTTTATTCCAGTACAGTAAGTCCTCAGATATTTCTTTCAGGTTGCACACCCACAGGATTTATCTTAGTGACCGTTTGTGCCAGCTCTGATGAGATGTGCATGGCACAAGATAAGGTCCCAGGGGAGAGAGTTCCATGCAGTAATGTGTGGAGGACAGGTTCTGGAAGGTGCACAGCTGGGCAGAGCTCAGCCAGTTTGTATACTGCTCTGAGGAAGTGCCTGCCTTGCACTGAAATGTCTCCTGGTGACCTTAGAGTAGGATTTCCCCCACCAAAAATACCCTTTGCTGTAGAAGAGGTTCTGGTGGCCAAGACCAGGACATGCCCAGGGTTGCTGTTGGCTGCTCAGCCAGGGTCAGTGGAGTGAACTGCTCCTAGTCTGAGTCCCTTTGCTTAGGACATACAGTCCCCCCCTCCTTTTTTGCTGGTTCCTACCCACACTGCAAACTCCAGCTGACTCAGAGCTGACTTTCTAAACAGATCAGCTGGACAGAAAAAGGCAATGGCAACCACATCTGCAGGGAACCATGCAAGTTTAGTATCTTACCTGCTGCTTGTAGGCAGAGCATTGGACCTGCCCCAGACCTAAATAAGGAGAAAAGATGCATTCAGAATTATATCTTCCTGTCATAAGGGACCACTGTGATGTCTGATCTGAATTTTGTGTGATGCAAGCCAGGGAATTACCATGTACTAATTTCAGTTTGGATCAATCTAGATCTTACTGTTAGAAGTATTTGAGTTTTGTTTCTGAAGCTGCCAAGGACAGACAGACATTTCATCCTAGATCTAACTAACTGATTTTAGGACACTTAATTCTTCCTTTCCGAGTAAAAAGCTGTCCTCTTAATTTTGTTAACAGATTTTTGCCCAAAGATACCCTTGTAACTTACCAGATACCTAGGAATAGTAGTCTGACTAATTAACATAATAGCATAGAAGAACAGTAATTAATGCTGCTTAATAGCCTATTAATACTTGCTGCCCTTTCTAACGGAAAGCAAGAGATTCCTAACCCCATTTTTTCTAGAAGAATAAAGTTAGGCTAAAAGAGAAAAAAGTATGTCGTTCGGGATTCTGAACTAAGCAGTGCTTGGTCCAGGACCCTCAGAAGAGTCTATTGAGGATTCAAAATAAAATGTGAAAACTTAATGAAAATTTTAGAATAGAGTTCTGAAGGCGATGTGAAATTTAAAAGTCAAAATGAGGATTTTAAAAAAATCCTATGTACATCCTTGGGACCAGTCTGTTGCAAACATCCTCAAATTTCTTCTGCCACCACCTAAATCTTTGGATTAAGGGGGATCCTGTATGCAAATCTGAGGGCTGCCCAGAGCTCATATAGGCAGAGTAGTGTGTGCTCTGACACGAGAGGACTAGGAAGTAAATGCTGTGATGGGTGACTTCAGCAGGGAAAAGTTGGACTTTGTTTCCCTCTGAATTTACCCCACCCCAGAAGGAGGCTGCACCCTCCGCTGGACACGCCTGCTGTGCATTGTGAGTGTGAATGCAGACAGCTTGTTTGTGCCGACAGCCATTTGATCTGGAGGCTGGAACAGATGGTTCTGGTCCATCACTGCACACACTGTCTGCATTCTGTGCTGGTTCTCTGCACGCAGCTTCAGCTGTAAGATTGGGCGTTGGGGTTGTTGGGCATATCACATCAGCAAACAACACCCTGGACATAAAGCATGTTGCAGCAGGGAAGGAGGAAGCAGGGAGTGCAGCTTCTCTAACCAAGAAAGCAGCAGAACGACAAAGGGAAGTGAGCTCGTAGCGTGGTTGGCATCAAAGGGTTTGTTTGGCTGCAAAGCAGTGTGTTCTCAGGAGGCTGGGAACAGCCTTGATGGCAGGGGAGGACCCATGCCTGATTTAAGCATGGATGTAACAGTCTGGAGTCTTTTCCTAGATGGTGACAATTTCATTCCCATCGAAAAGGAGTGATGCTTTACATGTCAGAAATGAATGGTCACTGCAGTAGGCTTGATTTGAACCAGCATGGCACGCTGCAGCTCCTGCACGCCTTTCCTCATCCACCGTTCCTGGTGTAAAGGTCGTGGTTCTTGTCGCCCACTGGGCTGTTAGGAGGGGACTCGTCAATGCAGACATTTCTCACTGTGCTACTATCTAACCTGCCTTGAAATCCAGGGAGATGAGTGTGCTATGTACAGGACAATTGTACTTTTATAAAACACATACTGGATACTGCTCTGTGAGCAGAGCTCCTGCAGAACAAGTACAAGAGTATAAATGCTGCTTTGTGACCACTTTCAAAAAATAACTTGATTTTTCTTACGACCAGTGTAAGTTCTACAATTGCCTCTCAAGTTCTCTTGAGAAGTCTGTAATTAATAAATTGTGCTTATCAGAATGTTTTATAGAAATCATAGTAACTACAAACTTGCAATATTTTTTGTTCCCAAATTTCATTAAAAACTTACTTCAAGGCTCTGGAGCTGGACATAAAAGTATTGATGCTGCAGATATCAGGCTTTAGAAAACAGAAAATAGAATGGCAAAGAAAAAATTACTTAAATAGCACTTTAAAAAATGTGTAAAGTGCTATGCAGATGTACAATGAAAACTAGGCTGGCAAAGAACAGTATTCAGTTTAGAAAGTGGTATAATTAAAGTGTTTGAATATGCTACTGTTTTTTATTGGTTTCATGCCTCTTCTATGTGCCATATAAACAAAGACTTGCAGAAATATGTGACTCTGCTGTAGCGATTGTATGAGAAGGGACAGGCATAAGTCTGAAAAGTCAGTGACAATTTGGACATTTCCTGATTTTGGCTGCCACAGCGTTTTTAATAGTTTTTTTTTTTTTTTGTTTGACACTTATCTTGCCGTCAGTGCCTTGTCACCCTGTAGAGCTGGGACGCATCTTATGCCCCAAAGCTGGAGACGGCTGCCAGAGACTGGTCTGTGTCCCTCAGGTTTTGTGGGAACCCTGAGGAGTGCATATATTGATACAAAGTTCTTGCTTCATCACAGAAGTTGATATTATGTTTTCTCTTTCCAACCCTGCAGCTCTGTGTTGTGGAGGCCTCACTTGTTTTGTGGACTATGTACAGACCCTGTCCTGCATCCTGCAAGATGAGCTGGCCGCTGGCTCCTACGCTCTCACTGCAACATGGTACGTCTGGTGGGATGAGCACAGCCCAGCCAGCAGGAGCCTCTACATGCCCATAGCACAGTGGCAACCTTCTGTCTTCTTTGTTAGGTAGAAATCCTGGTTTTGCTGCCATGCTGGTTTTTTACTTGGTATTTTGCACTCCAGTTACAAACTGACTTCTTCCCTAGCAAAAGACCCCTGGTCCGTGTCTCTGCTGCCTGTGCTTCTCCCTGCTGACTGCTCTGCTGATTCCAGCTTCCTCAGCCTTGCCTTTGCTGCTGTGAGAAGTGAACTTTCAACCCCTGTGCATTGGCAGGGCTCATGCAAATTGTCCAGTCTGCTCTGCTCTGCCCCAGCAATGGAGTGGCTGCAGTCTTGGCTGTGCAGCCCTGAGGAGCACCTTTCCTTTCCAGAAACACTTTCCTGCTTCTCTCAAAGATGCTAAGCTAAGCAAGTAGAAGGGAAAAAAGGAATCTCTTGAAGTTTAAAGGTTATTTTTTATTTGTACATGTTGGTTTTTCATTTTAATCATTTTCTGTGCCTGGTAGTTCAGCAACAAATTAATACAACTACAGTATGTGATACATGCAGACTTGTTTGTTTTGACTTTTTTAGGGCTCCTGAGGAAGATCCAGAAAATCCTGTGGCTGCCTGCAGTCTCCTGCAATTGTCAAGGAACACCAGTCATACACAATACATGTGCACTGTGGACATGACTGAATTCCTGGCAGATACCAAAGTCCAGGTGGATGTTACAGAGACAGCTGATAGGCAGCACGTGCTTTCCAAAGGCTTTTATTTGTCAGAAAATAGTAAGTACAAAAATGGTGAATTTGATAAATACTGTTGGACTTTATGTACTAGGATAGCGTGGGCAAGGAGTGAGAGTGGCAGCAAGCAGTGAGGGGCTACATTTGCTGTACCCTCATCTACATAAAGCACTGTCCTCTTATTATTGCTATTATGCTTGAGGCTGAGCTCAGAGCTGGCTTGGTCCGTGCTTTTGGTGGGGAAATTCCTTTTCCTCACGAAGCAGTAGGTGATAAATGTCCAGCTTAGACCAGTCTCATACCTAGGCTATGCAAGAGCTTGTTCTTGGCTGGATTCTAAAGGGCAGGGGGAAATTGCTTTATCACAAATGTCACAAATCACAGAATCCTTAAGATAATTTAAGTTGGAAGGGACTTTAAAAATCATTCAGCTCCAACCCCCTGCCAGGGGCAGGGGCACCTTCCACTAGACCACGTTGCTCCAAGATCTATCCAACCTGGTCTTGGACACTTCCAGGGATGGGGCCACCACAGTTTCTCTGAGCAACCTGTGCTAGTTCCTCACCACCCTCCCAGACAAGAATTTCTCCCTGATATCCCATCTAACCCTGTCCTCTGTCACTGTGAAGCCATTCCCCCTTGTCCTATCACTACATGCCTTTGTCAAAAGTCTTTCTCCAGCTCTTTTGTAATATCCAAGGAGCTGGAGGCTCCCAAAAGGCTTTTGCAGTGAACCCCTGAACCACACCTGGGTGGCACAAGGTGTCCCAGATGTACTGGATGTGGCAGCTCTCCTTTCTGGGGCAATTCCTAATCATTTCTCCTGCATGACACATAGACTGATTGCAGTTGCATAGCTGACTTGGTGGAATGTTGGTATGTTCTGTTGGTATGTTGTGTAGCAAACTGAAGAAAAGGAATGGTTAGTCAGGCAGATGGATACCATGCAGACATAGGAAAATGATTTTTCTGTCTGGCTTCTTCTGAAATGAAACTGTACTTGAGGAGTGTCATCTTTTTGGCAAACGCCTTAACACTTCAGGAAGCCTCCTTGCTCCCAGGGACAGACTAGAGGTTGGGTAGTGGTGCTTTGCATATCTCCTACATGTCCTCATCCAAAGGCATCATGGCTCAGTGTGGGCCCTGCAGACTGCTGGAATTTTGTGTTACTGCTTTTCAATATATGAACGCTCCCTGCAGGGATACTAAAGCTTGCTTTTTGGGCAGTTGGGACATGGAATTGCAGTGGGTTTATGCAGTGTCCCTAGCTTCAGCTTTTCCTCTTTACTCTGTTACATTGAGGGGTATTTTCCCAATTTTGTGAGTGATCGTGACTACACAGAGTTCTTTTGTGTCATGAGAAGAACAAGGTGCTCTACATTTTACATAATCTCCCAGGAGTTTATTAGTCTTGTGTACTATCTTTCCTCCTCCATAGGCAATGAGGAGGTTCAGAGACAAGCAGAAGATATATTTGAAGAAAAGTGGTCCTGACTTCATTCTGTTCCTCATGTGTGAGGTTCTGTGCATGGCTGAGGGCAGGAATGCTGTGGATGTTCTCTAGTGTAGGAAGGCCCAGCACTTCCAGGGCAGCTTTGTTCCCTGCTCACTCTGCACTGCCAAAACCGTGTTGGGCCATCTCTTAACTGGACTAATCTTATGAAAGGTAACACCATCCTCTCTTCCAGTAAAACCACAGCCTCCATTCAACCTGACCGCTTTCTTCTCAGAGGGTTACAATATTTCTTGGGAAACCATCTACCAGAACTCTTCCTTCGACTTTTTGAATGAGGAGTTGGAATATCAGCTGCGTTACAAAAGAAGAAGTGACACCTGGGAGGTAAGTGAGATGTCACTTTACCATCACTGACAGAAAAGAGGAGGCCAGCACAACCAGGACAGTAGCACTGGTGGGAAAGAAGGGTTTTCATGGTTTAGAAAAAATGTCTCTCTGCTTGACTGGACTGAAAATAGGCAAACCCAAAAATTAATTGAGAAGCAGAAGCTGTGTGGGAAGTATTAGATCCTGTGAGCAAGGCTGATAATTCATTTGATTTTCATGCTGTCCTGCCTGGAAGCCTCCCCCAGGACTGCATGCAGCTGCTGACCAGGCAGAGCACGGCCTTGCAGAAACAACATGAAAGCAGAAGAGGTTAATTTGCAGACATCCTCAGTGTGCAGCAGTGAGAGCAAAGTGAGAGCAGTCATTCTAGTGTTTGGTGTTTAATCGTTCACAGGCTCAGAAGACTAAAGCTGTTCATGAAGATAAACGGACATTGTTGATCCTGCCATGGGAACTACAGGCCAACACTGAGTACGAGTTCCAAGTGAGAGCTAGACCCCGGGAAGGCAGCAGCTATGGTGGTTTTTGGAGTGAATGGAGTTCTCCGCTGCCATTGAAAACCAGCCCTGCCGGTACATGCTGCCAGAGCTCCCTGCCCTTTCAGTTAGCTCAGTATCAGAGAATGCTTTCAGAAATTTAATAAAATCTAATTAATTAGAACAAATTTTAAACAGTCCAGTAAAGACAAGTATGGTTAGCTTCCTTACTAGTTATGTGAACCCCAAGCCTGGGCTGTCAGTATTGACGTTCTCACTGTGTGGCTAAAGAAGAGTGTTTGGTGGGGTTGGCTGTATATTTGGATGCCACTTGCAAGAGTGCAGCCTCTAGCTTCCTTTTTCAGAGTCAAATGTCCAGGGTTTTGCTTGCAGCTTTCAGAAATGGGGGACTCTACTGGGTCTTAGTGTAGTCTTCAGCTAAGAGGAGGGGGATCCTGCTCTCAAACCTGAGTTCTGTGTCTAGACTCTGATGTTTGGTCATGCTGGGTATGGGTGTTTTGTTTGGTAGCCACCACTCTGCAGGGAGTTCACAGTACTTGATACACAGAAGTACACTGGTTCTTGTCATGGTGGAACAGAGGCTGTGAAAATAAGGAGCCTTTGCTCCAATAGAGCAAGTGCAAAATGGCTGTGGTCAACACCAGCAGCATGTGCTGAGCTTCCCTGCTCTCACTGATCTGCAGCTCCAACTGAAGTATTACAAAGTTTACCTGATGCAGTGGCAGCAAGGCCAGGCTCCATTTGCTAAGGGATATCTGAGTTCTGGATCTCAGAAGCACTCCTTTTCATCACAGGTGGAGGGCAGCCACCAAGCAGTCATCTAGTCAGCAGCTGTCTCTAATCAGCTGCACTCTTTCCCTTCACAGATGATCTGTGGAGGTCTCCCTAAACCAGGAGTCAGAAACACCAGGGGTTTTTGTGGCAAGGAGCTGTCCTGTGCTAACCATGCTGGCTATCTGTGGTGCAGCCAGGCCATAGGGCAGCTGGTGTACTGCTCCTTTCACTGATGCAGTGATCTCTGAGCACCCTCAATCAGGCCTGCCTGGAGTACTGATGCCCGAGTTACAGCCTGAGTATCCCAATGAGAGAATCTGGGATAGAAATTAAGGGTGTCTCATAGAATCATTTAGGTTGGAAAAGACCTCCAAGATCATCAGGTCCAACCTTTGACTGATGGTCACTTTATCAACTAGACCATAGCACTGAGTGCCATGTTCAGTGTCTTAAACACCTCCAAGGATAGTGACTCCACCACCTCTTTGGGCAGCCCATTCCAATGCTTGACAACACTTTCCATTCCAAAAACCCTTTTTCTCCTCACCATCTCCTGTTTATTGATCTGGGTATAAATGCAAGGTGAGCCTAAACAACCTCATCTCTTTCTCCAGCAGAGACACAGACCGGAGGCATGGAATGGCTGTTACTGTTTGGTATTGTTGTGGCAATCATGGCCTCAATCACGACATTTCTGGCCAAACAGCAGAGGTAAGAATGCTTGAGGAGGCAGCAGTTAATGCTTTTATTCTATCTTGTTAAAGATGGGATGTTCACATGCAGCCTTCCTTGAGTCTTTTATATCTATGAGTGGGCAGCTATGGGCCTGTGAGGGACAGCCAAGAATGGTGACTGGCAGTTGTACTGCCCCAAGTGACCTGCTTTTCTCTGGGACTCTGCTGCCATTCTGCTGGCTGGGACAAGATGCTGGCACATGGGGACGATGCAAGGGCCACACAGCCTCCTGAGCTGCTCTCTGTTCTCTGTTCTTGTCTGTGCTCTGCAGTTTCCAGATAGACAGTAGCCAGAGCTAGCTGCCCCTTTCCAAAGCTGACATAGGTCCCTCAATGCTGGCTGGAGGCCTCTGTCCTTTTTGGTGGCTTCTCATGCCCTTGAAGAGATATGGGGTGCTGACATGGAGAAGGGCTGGGCTGCTGCAGCACTAGGGCTGGTGCAGCCCAGTTCCACAGAAGAATTGCACAGGGAAGAGTTCTGGCCTGCAGACCACAAACCAGCCCAGCGTCAGTGAAAATGCATTTCTAGCACTTGGTGATTTTCCAGGAAGGAAAAAAACTGGAACCTCTTCCCGTGTGTGAATGTGTGTGTGCAAGTGCTGAGGCCTCATCTCCAGTGAGGTTCACCAGAAGGGCTATTAGATGGCTCTGGCAGCACAAGACATCCTTGGAACCTCAGTCACTTGCTAACTCACCAGTCTGGGCAGGTCATTCCAGTTGGTTGAAACGGATCTAGAGATACCTTGCTTTGCATCTGTAATGTATGCTTAACCCCAAAGCCTTTCTCTTTTCTCTTCTAGCTTGTGGAAGAAGATGGCTTGCATCCCAGACCCTGCTCCATTTTTCAAACCACTTTACATGGCTCATAATGGAGATTTTAAGGTATAAATGGGCTACACAAGTGAGTGGAACACATGCATACTAAAAGGCCATCATGCTATCCTGAGCAAGGAATTCTCATTAGGGCAGTAGAAGGGGAAATCTATCTCAAAGGAATGCCAAATGTCTCCAGATATAAGAACCAGAGCTTTCCAGTATCTGTTCAGTGCCATGAAGGCCTTTATGTTACATCCATACCTCTTATTCTCTGTAAGTGCTGTCTCACTGTGTGAGCTGAGTTCATGTGATTTCTGAAGACTGGGATCCTGACACGAGTGTCAGAGAAAACTGCAAAGCCGTGCAAACCTCTCACAGCTAATTATTTTCGATTGCTTCAGTTATTTCTCCTGCAGTTGCTTGTGTCTCATAATTACAGCATCCTTCTGTTATAGTGGAGGAGTCAATGATTTTAGAGTTTGATTTTTGCTTCTAAAAGCGTAAGGAATTTGGTTGTTTTTGTGGAACCTCAAACCTTGTGATGCTAACCTCTCTCTCCCTGTGTTTCCTTTTCTGCAGAAGTGGGTTGGTGCATCCCATATGAAAATGGCCTTTGATTTCTTTGAATGGGGAATAGTCCTTCCAGAAGTCTTAGAAGTTTACACCATGCATCCTTCCAACAGCACGCCACAGGAAGAGCTGCATGAGCTGAGAAAAAATCAGCCTTGCAAGCCCTGTGTGTCCTGTGTGGCTGCCCCAGGTCAGGGTAGCCAGTCCCTGTGGTGTAGTGCAAACAGCAGTGGTGGGACTGAGGACCAGTCCTATGGGCACTTGTCAATCGATACAGTGACTGTGGCTGATGAATTTACACCTTGTGACTGCCAATGCAGCTGTAATAACCACGTGTACAGGGAACATGAGCATACCAACAAGGAAGATGATAGTGCTGGAGAGCCTGGTTACCCCAAGGTTAACATTGATGAGGAAGACAGAAGGATATGCAGTGACTTGCATTTGGCTGATCTGAGTGCACAGGACAAAATTCTTGCTTCAGGCTCTGTGTCCACAGACCACCTGAGGAGCACAAGTGTCCCAGTCAACCAGCAAGGAGAAAGGGGAGTGGAAGGAGGGGCAGGGAGCATCCTAGAAGCCCTTTGCTTGCAGCCTTATCAGTGGGATTTGGAAAATCCAGGTTCTCTACCTTCTCCTGATGGTGAAAGTGTTTCTTACAGTGAAGGCTCCTATGACTTCTTCCCCCACAATATAAGGCCTGGTGACAGTTGTCCTTTGATTTTTGTAGATTTGGACACTATTGACAGTGGCTTTGTGGACTCAGACTGTGGAAGTCCAGTTGACTCTGAATTTGGGCAAAACAGTCAGACCATTTGTGGGCCCATCCCTCTTGAGCAGGAGGGGCAAGACTTTCCACGGAGCTACGTCAAGCAGTGGATCTCCTGTCGCTCTGAGAGCCCTGTCAGTGGGACACAGACAAACTAAGGACTTTGATGTTGCCTGGATGAGTGTGGGGCCTTTTCCATAGTGTGCCAGGAGCAAAGTGTTAGCAAAATTCAGAAGAGAAACGAAGTTGGCTTTGTGTAAGCTCTCTTGCATAAACTGACACCTGTTAGGTCCACAGAAATATGCCTGTTTCTATTCCCACTTATCCTATTAATGTCCCAAATTTGTTGTGCTTGATTGTTCCTGAACTTTTTGGGGTTTTGGATTATTTTAGAATCATAAATCAACCCTCCCTTGATGTCAGAAAAAAACAACTGTGCCTTGAAAATTATCCTTTGGCTTCTGTAGATATGCAAAATTTTTGCAGTAACCTTACAAAGAGTACTGAACTTTAAGTTATTTTCCCTGGTATTCTCACATGACTTGAGAGTTTGGCTGTACACAGAACTTTGGAATCATAACCCATGGCAAGCATGTTTGCTACATAAAAGTTCCCCTAATCCTTGCAAACAACGTGTGATGTTACTTTTCCTCCTAATAGCTTTGGCTCTTTAAACTCAGCTGTACTGGTTTGTTAATTACAGAGGGTTCCAGACCTGTCCATGGGGAACAAAACTAATTCTTATGTAATAATCACAGAGATGTGTGTACAAGAGGCTAAGCACAACTCAGGTTTCAGAAAGACTTTCCAGGTGGAGTCTGCAAATGAAAAGTCTTCAAAATACACGTAATTCTAAACAAACTGTCACTACTAGGCTCTTCTATCGAGTCAGACTCTCTCTCTGCACTTTTCAAACATATTAATTGAGCAGCTTTTAGAATGTTTGTCATAATTATCAAAATGTTGTCCTACCTGGATATACCTGCCACTTCTGCCTTGGACTTGGTCTGCTGCAGTTAACAGGTCAGTAGCACAAATTTTGAGAAATTTCTGCTAGCTAATAAAGCCAAATATGAAACTGCACTATAACTTTGAATCTGTTTTTCTCTCTGACATCTCTGTATCTCTGATTTGTTCAGAATAATTGTCTTTAAAAGTCACTGTAATACTGAAATTGAATATGAAGACCTTTGTCTTACATAGGGGCAGTGCTACTAACCCATAGACTGCTTGGCTACAGAAGATCATATCTTGAGAGGACCTTTGTGGTAAATGATGCATGTTTCCAGTGCAGTAATAATCTGTTGTTGCTGTGATACCAATAAACTCCCTTCCCTCAGCCTCTTCTCTTACCTGAGACTATAGGCAACCCCACAGCTCCCTAAACAGGAGAGAGCACTGTAGTAAAGAAAAGCTGGTTTTTTTCATAGGTGAGTGCTGGGACTGTAGTGCATTGCATCCACATCTGATCAGCCATGGTATTTGCTATGTTGATTTTGGACCTACATGACTTCATTTTGCCCATGTTGTTATTGCTCCCTCGATACATCCCAAGCTCAACGGCTTCCTGAGAAATGCACCAAGATTTATTAGCTTCTTTGGTTTCTTCCCTCCTTATTTTCCATTTTTCTTGTCATCTGCTGTGATAAGTGATGGGAGATGCTGTTTTCGTGCACTGATGCATCCTTTCTGCTTCTACCAGTCCCTCACATGCCCTCCAGAAGGCAGCAGAGGATTGCCCCAGCCTCACTGCCCTGGCGAGCTGACTGCCCCACGCTATGCTACGAGGGCTGCTTGCATTAGGATTGTGTTTGTGCCAGTGTGTACTGGACAGAAGCATTTCTGATGGTCTCAGCACAGTCTTCTGCAGCTTCATCTTGCAGCTCTTTTCACCTTAGAAAACTACACTGTGGTAACTGACCCCAGGCTGCTTAAGGAAGAAACTTGATTGTTTTTCTGGGGCCCTTTACATCTCAGTTCTGTGTGCTCTCTGTTTCCATTTGTATTGATGGCCCCAGAACTGCTGAAGGAACTGTTATTGGAACACCATCTGGCTGTACATCTGACAGAAGGTTTGGTGTTATGTTGGCCTGGAAGTTATCACTGCTCACCCTAGGAGGCAGACTTCATGAACAAGTGTGTGACACAAGGGTATTAAAAGAAAAGAAATTATTCCCTTTGAAGCAAGGTATAACAATTAAGCTTTTGGTCAGTGAGTTGTCACTGTGGATATGGAGGGGTTTGAGGTGTGGGGTTTTCAGTGCCTCTTAGGAGCAAACTGCAAATGTCCCTGATCTAGCAGTTCTAATTTGGAAATTTCCTTTTCCCCAGGAATGATAGGGTCAAAAAGCAGGTACTGGGAGAAGCACCACAATCCATTCTGATGTATCCATTTGGGAATGTCCATCTCCATTTCTGAATGGCCTCTGTTTCCCTGTCCCTTGGCCCCAGAAGCTAATACTGACAGACTTTTACTCGGTCTGTTCTTTGACTGCTCCTGTCTTTCTGCTCCCAGGCACTAGACCCACGTACAGGACTGAGCTGATGGCTGCAGGCTGTAACACTGCCATTGCATCATTCTGCTGGGCATGGGAAGATCTGCTCCTTATACACTAGGATCAGGACAAGGAAGCACTGCAGTGCTTGTTTGCCTTGGCTTGCAGAGCTGCCCTTTGAGCACAGAGCAGCAGTCGGCCGTGGAAGGAGGGCAGGACAGGGCAGCTCGGGGGTGTTGCAAGGGTCTGAGGACAGCTCTTGGGTGGGAGCAGTTTAGCCCCACATCCATTCAGGGCTAGGAAATGGCTTTAGGTCACTTAGAAAGCTCTTTTGCTGACCTATTTATGTAAAAGTTGCAAGCAGATACTTTTCTCTTCAGCAAATTACTTAGCCTTTGAAATGTTAACCCTTTAGCAGAAATTCCTGTTTCTCCATGACTAATGAGAAATTACATATATAGCTACTTTAACTCAATCTGATAATAAGAACAGTTTTTCATTGGTTCTTGAGATTATCTTTAAAATCTGCTTTATTATGCTACTGCTGCTACTGCCTGATTATCAAACCACACAGCTTAAACTATCAAGGGACAGAAGCAGTGTGAAAAGTAACATTTCTTTTGAGCTGGTAAGACAGTTTATCATATTTCTGTTATACGCATTCCAGTATGTAATGCTAGGGGACATCTACTGAGCTAAAATATCGAAAAATATTTTCTTTATCTAAATATGGAATTTTATATTGTTTCTTGAACTAGGAACCTGAAGACCGGAGGTGTTTTTGCACTTTTGTTCTGATGGTTTGCTGAGCACAAAACACCACTATTGCATTAATTCTTATGGATTGTGCTTGAAAGAAGGACCATCTTGAACAAGGTACTCCTCTCTGACTGCAAGAGATGAATGTGAAGGAATCCAGACAAAATAGTTCTCAGTGTTTGGGATTTTGCAGACATAAACATACTTTTTTAATGTATGTGTGTATATAAATGTGTGTGTATGAATGTTGCTTTATTGCAGTCATCCTTTGTAGCATCTTTGTTTTTGGGATCCAAGTATATCACATGTAAAAGTACATGGCTGTTTGTGGGCATGAAATTGTTGGGTGAATGGCTCTCCAAAGCTGAAGAGACGAAAAGGCTGCTTATATGGGGTTCTCTCAGATAATCTATGCAGATAAGAAAATCCAACGACTTTTTCCTTATTCGCCAGGACAAGTCTCATGTGAGCCTGTTGTGCACATTTGATGTGCTTCTGTCAGACATATGCTTAGAGGCCTAGGTATTCAGAAGGTAGATAAAGTATCACTAATTTTTCTTAAAGGACCTACAAAAACCTTTTTTTATAGGCAGGGATGATTTTTTACAATGGGTACCCCTCCAATTAGACATACCAGCATAACAGATTGCTCTGGAGACTCTGCACTCCAGGTAATCTTGGTGGATGAAGGGGTGTACCCGTTGGTACAGTCATGCTGTTGCCTATCCCTGTTTTATTTTGTAGGTGCTAGTCAGTGTCCTGCCTTTCTTTGGTGCCTGTTTGTGTTGCCTCTGGAAGAGATGTCAGCAAAGGAAGGGATTATGGCCAAGCGAGAGCAGGTCATTTATGACTAGTGACTAAGATGTAAGGAATGGAAACTGAGCATTCAAGGGTCCAAATCTGCTGTGTCTGCTCCCACTGTGCACCACTCATTGTATCATAGAATCCTGGGATGGCTTCAGTTGGAAGGGATCTTCAAGCCCTCAGCCATGGGCAGCAACACCTTCCACTGGGCCAGGTTGCTCCAAGCCCCACCCCACCTGACCTGGAACACGTCCAGGAATGGGATAGGGACAACCTTGCCCGTATCTCATTGCCCTTACAGGGAAAAATTTCTGCCCAATACCCCATGTAACCCTGGCCTCTGCTTGCTGGAAGTCATTCCCCCTTGCCCCATCCCTACACACCCATCTCCAGCTTTCTTACAGCTCTTTTATGCACTGCAAGGGGCTCTAAGTTCTCCCTGGAGCCTTCTCTTCTCCAGGCTGACCAAGCCCAGCTCTCTCATCCTGTCTCCATAGCAGAGGGACTCCAGTTCTTTGATGGTCTTCGTGGCCTCCTCCAGACTTGCTCTAGCAACTCTGTTCTTATGTTGAGGACCCCAGAACTGGACACAGTACTGCAAGGAGAGGTCTCACAAGAGCAGAGTAGAGAGGTGGAATCCCACCCCTTAACCTGCTGGTCACGCTGTCCAGGATACAACAGGCTTTCTGGGCTGTAAAATATGCATGGCTAGACCTTGTTGAGTGTCTTGTCAACATCAGAATTTTGCTCTGGGAGAGAGAATGAGCAAAACACATCTTGAAAGAGTCCAGAGCCACTGCAAAATCAGAGCCTGAAGCTTCTGGCTTCCTCTAAGATTTAGGTGAGCCTACAAGACCATGTGAATGAGCTGCAACAAGAAAAAATTATGTTGCTTAAGCAACATCAACTTATAAAAAGTTGATGTCAGAAGTAGAATAAAACCTAGAACTCCTGGCTGTCTGCTGTGGGCTGGCATATTATATCATATGTATCAAAGGATACCCGAGCATATTGATGAATCTTATGCACATATCTCCATGTGAAATCCTTGTTCATGCTCTTTTATGAGACTTCATGTTTTATCAGGCTTTTGTAAAACTGATCTTACTTGTAGTCATCCAGAAGTCAGACGTAAAAATCCTATTTCATATTCATCCCTTTGAGCCGTTACATTTATCTATACAATTCTTCTATCTCTCTATCTTATCAAGCAGAAGCTTCTTATCCCCACTTTTAAAGTCACTAACAGCCTCTTCTTGTCCTCTTGTCATCTCTCGCTTCCTCATCTAGAAGTTAACTCTATGATGTCAGCTTCTACCTCCCACTAGATCATTAAATCTACTTCTCCTAATCATCCTCCATGCTACTGCTACATTTCAAAGCCCTTCTTGCAATTCTCTTGGGCTACATCAACCTCATTCTTCAAGTCTCCCTGTAAAGCTCTGCTTTACATAGTTTCTAAAACCTAGATGATATCTAGGCTACCCACATGCTGAGACTGTTGTCAACTGCTTGTACTACTTCCTCTCTCAGTGGTGTCTATCAAATAATTTATTTTACCTTACAAATTCTTATGAGAAAATGTTATCTTTTTATTGTGCATTCAATTGGACCCCAAATCTGGGGCTGAATCCCAGAATATGAATTTCTGGTGATAGATTAAGCAATAATATCTGTCTTTCTGTTAATAAGAAGTTGAGAGCATTTAGAAAATCTGTGTTGTACAAATTCTGGTTAAAATTACTTAAAATTACTTTTGGGAAGTGGAGGCAGGAACCACAGGAGAGGAGGGGAAAGGCACAGCTGCAAGATCTCATTTCCTTGAGCAGATGACAGGCAGAATTCTGCCCTGGAAACATACAGAAAAGATGGAAACACCACTGCAACCAGCTTGAGACCACTTTGGAAATCAAGGTCACTACCATCTCCTGGTCCTGATGGACTGCTGGCAGCATGCCTGGTGTATCATTTCAGGGCATCATCTCAGACATTTTGTCTCTCTTTCCTGCAGAGTAAAGGTGCTTCTCCCTTCTTGACACTAGTTCTCATACAGCTTTTCTGCCTTCACCCACAACTTTGCAGTGCTGCAGAAACTGGACATTAGAACACAAGAAAGCAACAAGAAGTCTGGTCCCCAAGACATCCAGCTAAGAAATTGATTTGTCTTCCACTGCTTGCAGCTGCTGTAATTGTACCTGCACTGCTAGTACTGGGTTTCCATCTGAGCTAACAGGAAGACTACAAGTCTTGCATATGTTTAGGCGAAAGGTTTCAGCAATAAAGATAGTTCCCCTTTGTAAAAATTCTTCACTTCTTTTCTGCCTAATTGTATCTACCTTCAGTGTCCAACTACTGGACTCTTTCCATCTTTCTCTCATAGATTTAAAAAAGAAAAAAAGAAATACTTTTCTCCTATCTGAAATCATCTTCTCATTTAAGATACTTATGGCTGGTGTGAAATGACTACTTAGCCTTTCCTTTGGCTAAGTTAAAGAGATCCACTTGGTCTGTAATTGTTGATTTCTGAGTAAAGTTATCCAGGACTAAATCACTCACATAGCCATTTTCAGAAGCATTTTCATATTGACAGCAATTTTTTGCTTAAAGTGTTGATTCCAACATAAGAGATTAATTAATGGTGTTACAAATGCTGCATGTAGCAGCAATAACTTTTCTTTTAATTTATATGCATCCACAGTCTGTGTTGGCTCCTCTAATTGCATTAATGTACTGCAGAATCTCATTCAGCTGGTTAAGTGCTACTTCCTGAAATTATTTAATGATAAGTCTTTCAGAATTCAGTGTTCCGTCACCTACTTATGGCTAACATTTATGGCTTCTAACACAAAAATTTGCATTTAAACACGCTCTATTTGTTTCCAGGTGAGCTAGAGAGCCAGAAATGTCTAACACATTTCAAACGTTGCAGAACTGAACAAAGAACTCCTTGCATGGGAATGAGGGGAGTTTATCAGATTAGTAGCAATTACCTGGAAACATTCTGTCCTGGTTTACTTATCTTGACCTAAGTTTGTTTATTTGTTTGTGTGCCTGGACAAGTTCTTGTAAGCAGACATATAATTCTACTTACTGCAGTTCTCTCTATTTCATATTTAGTCAGTGTTACTGTATTTATCACAGGGACCAAGAGCAAACCTGATTAGAATGATAAGCAGGAGAGACTTCATGCCTCCCTCAGCTAAAATCAGCTAATGGTGACACTTCCTCTCCACAACCCCCACCCTGAAGAAAGTCTGCAGCAAAACAGGATATTTATGAAAAACTCATAACTGAAGAGGTGGTGAAGTGAAAGCCAGAAATACTCCTTTTCTCTTGATCAGTTTCTGAAACATAGTAATTATTTTACAATTTAATTCAGACAAGGGACACTATAGGCAGGCATAATCACATGTAAGAAGTTATACATGGATGCTGTTGTCTATCTTTGTGAAATTAACGACTGGAAGGATATTCTTGGTCATGGATCAGGTCGCTTAATCTCTTCAGTAAAACAATCCTAATGATTACTCTATCATAGTCCTTGATATATATAGATATATATATATGTAATATATATCACATCACAGGCTTCTTTCTCGCTCCCTTCTATTCAAGACTGCGTCAGACCCTTTGTTGGTGAGAAATCACTATCTTATTCTATAGTCAGGCTACATACACTTGGACCTGTGCTAATGCTGCACTTATTTTTTCCCTATCCTGATACTCCTTCCCTTTTCCCCAGCTTCTTCTGAAAGCGAGATCATAATCTCTGGCAAGTTTTGTTCAGTATTCTTTTCTTTTTTCTTTTCTAATAATAACTAACCCAACTCTTTTGAGATGGATCATTCCACCGTCTTTTTACCCCAGCTGTAAAGCTCAGTTCAGTGTCCATGCTAGTTAAGTAGTGCGAACATTGTTCCTTCAGTATTTTTTTTTAATTTTCAAGAAGCTGTTTTTGTTTATACTGATTACTGACTACAGACTCACTCCAAGTTTTCTGGGTTTCAGGTTCTTTGGAGCAGCAGTCTCCTTGCTGGGCTCATTTGCTGTGTTCGGGTAACAGCAAATAATGCAAACCAGAAACATCTTTTTAAAACACCACATACTGTTGAATAGATCATATTCTTCATATTAAATGTTGCCATAAAATCATCAAATCAGAAACTTTTAGTGAAAAAGTATAATTTTAAATTAAAACTTCACCAGGAGACAATTCAGAGAATGGAATTTTTGGTTAAAAAGAAAGAGGCTGAGCCCAGTATAACCTTATAGAGATGTGGTGTCCCATGTTGTGAAAGATACACTTCAAACATCCTTACACTACTCTTCGGTGAACTGTGGTAATGACTAGGCTCTAAGTATTCTACATCTCCCAATGAGTGCTTTGACCAGATCATACCAGTTATTCTCTGTTTTCTGAATATGCAGAAATAACGTTGCTCCAGGAGGCCCCTGAGCTGCAAATGTCTGGAGGCTGAGAATACTCGGAGATTGCCATCTATGCTCTATTGCTACGATTCTCTCTAAGCATCTGGTTTTGACTATAGTCAGAAACAGGACTTGGGGAAACAAGAATATTGGTTCCAACACACTGTGGCTCTCTGCTGCTCTTAAATTGTCATAAACCAGATGACAAAAATGCAGGAAGAAAGAAAGAACACCCACATCTTCTCCCACTCTTGATAAAATTGCAGGAACTGTAGATTTCCTTTCAGGTGGCTGGTGCTTTAGCACAAAGTACTGTTTACTGCCATGAGAAGAACAGTTCCTGTAGAAGAAATTATATAGCTGAGTTGGTGCCCTCTCTGACAGATTCAGGATCAGCTTTTGTCAGGCTGGCAGAAGCATGCAGCTAACGCTTCAGCCCACTGGTAAAAATAATGACAAAACTGCTCTTAACGATTATTCTGTTCTAGATACTATCTGGAATGGGAGGAGTTGTGTGGCAGTTGGGCCTCCAGCTGTGCGTTGCTGCTGTGCTGCTCTTTGGTGGAGGAAGAGGGAGAGGTAAGGGGAGATTCTGGAACAGGACCACTGTACAGAGACAGGTACATGCCTGTGCTCATTTTTCATTCACAGACCCTTCAGTATGCAGCCCAAGGTCTTGTGACTGCCCTTTCCCAGATCCCAGGAACCAGTACAGCTGGCTGACAATGCCAGGCCTAGGGGACTCAACACATGCTGGACAAGCTGGGCACTAGAAAAAGTGTAGCCACTGCCCAAGGTCCCTGCTCTATGATCTTACACTCATCTCATGCAGCGAAGTGTGTTACAACAGAGTAAGAACATGATGAGGAAGATCAGATGCAGTGTCAGCAACAGAAGTATTAGCAAGTAATGCATTGTTTGATGTATTGAGCAAGGCATCATCCAGTGATGCATGAATCCAGTTCTGGTCTCCTTCCTCTGCAGAGCTCTCTGGCAGCTTGAGCTGCCTGAATAACTACGTGACTACTGTGAACTGCATGTGGGTAACGGAGAAGCCCGTGGGTGATGGACCTTTCCATCTGCATTTCACCAAGTAAGAGCTGCACACCAAGAGCTGTCTGTGGCAGTCCCAGCCCTGGCATGGATAGGACAGCACTGAGAAGCAGAGATGGAGCCCAGCTTGGGCTTTGCTCCCTCCACAGCAGGAGAGCTGTGGCAGGGCTAGCTCTGCCACCTCATCACCCCAGACCTCAGAAGCTGCTCTCTATTGTGCTCCCACAGCCTCAGCGTCAGCAGCAAAGGTCAAGTGCACATGGCTGCATGATCTCCTGTCAGCTGTGGGCTCTCCATCTGTTCAGTGAACTCTTCTGGCTGGCATCTCAGAGCAGAGAACCTTCCCTTCCCAGCCTCTGCTCCCTATGAGAGAGCCCAGAGCCCATCCTGCATAAAGCTGCCTAATCAGCTTCTAATAATTTCTTTCATTTTTGCCTAGAAGTTAAACACCTAATGATTTAATGCATATTAGTAAATATAAAAATACAAGTCCACTTATAAGCTTTAATAAGACGTTTAGAATATTATCTGAATAGTTTTTCCTCTAATAGAAGAAATGAGGCAAACAGTTTGCTGATAGGATAACCTGAGATTAATGTGTTTAGGTTATGTAGAAACATTGTCTTGACCACCAGGAACTATGAGGCAAGCCACTCTGACATTAGATGCCTCATATTCTGCTACGGTTAAGTGAAAAATAGACTAACTCTTATTAATACTGGATTTTAAATCTATGGAAAGATGGGCAAGCTGATAAACTGTGGTATCCCAGTTTCTTGTGGGATCACATGCAATGTGAAAAAATTGCTAATAAATGGCTAAACCACAAAAAGATAAACCATCTTCCAACACATTTTGCTCTCAGTACTGGTTTGTTTGTAGTGAAAGAGGACTTAAGGTACAGCTTATTGTTACGTCTGTGCTATGCACTTGTAACCAGCTGTCCATCCGCTCCTTCCCCCTACCTACCTGCTTTCCTGCAGTGACAGCAGCTCTTTCACTTTCAGAGGGAGCAGGGAATAGCTACTGGATGCTATGTGCAACTCCTGTGAGACCGCATGCTCTCAGTAGTAAGGTTTTAAAGGTGTCTTCTTCCTACCTATCCAGCCCTGCCATCCATCTGGCTTTTGGATTGCTGGTTTGCTTACTTTCTGCGCTAAAGAGAGGTTCATGGTCTTCCAGAGTGTGGTGCTGTGCTAAGCTGCCACATAGCCATAAACTGAAAAGCCCCTAATTGTATGATTTAAAAGAAACTTTCAGCCTTTTTTTTCTTCTAGCCTCTGGTCAAAGGGCCACAATGCCAGCTGCAACCTGACTGCCACAGAGAGCATGCAGAATCAATACCACTGCACAATTAATTTAACCAGCCAGATCTTGGAAACAGATGGTTATAGAGTCTCTCTCCAAGCACACTTCTTTGGTCGCATTCACACGTACATAACCCTTCCAGAGTACATTCCCCGCAAGCACAGTGAGTATGAACCAGGACAGCTGTGAGCTGAGGCTCTGCCCAGCAGCTTCAGGCTGGATAGGTCTGATATGCTGCCTAACAAAGGATGTCTCAGAGACGGCAAGGGAAAACAATGAAACCAATCAAGACTGCCCATCTCCAGGGAGTGCACTGTGTGAACTGCACCAGTAAGGATGCAGTTCCTGAGTCTCTCCATCCTGACTTTTCCTGGACTTCAGAGGGGCTGGCTCTGGAGCATTCAACAATACTTCTCATCTGCATTATGTTTTCTTGTGCCCTGGGTAATTTGCAATTGGATTGCTTCAATTATTTGTTTGTTTTGTTGTTTTATTATTCTCTAAGAAATTATGTAATGAGGAGTCATGGATTTGACTGGAATGTCCCATGGCCTGGTACTAGATAGAAATGCTCAAAACCTATCTGGATTAGTGGTATGTTGTAGGGCAGAATGTGATATCCAGAATGGTTCTTTGCTTACAAGATTAACCCTAGAGACTACTGGAGTTATCATTAATTTATGTCAGATGTGTAGCTGTTCCGATGCTGTAAGCTAACTTGGTCTCCTGCTAGTGTTGGTATCCCTCCTTAGACCCAGCTTTATCTTCCATTACTTCAGTCACCCTAATATCATGCACTTTTTTTCTTTTGTGTTGTCCCAAATACTGGGAAAAAATCCCCACCTCCTCTATTTGCAGTAAAACTTGATCCACCTTTGGACATCCAGAGCAATGCCACTGCCAGCAAGTGCCAGATATGGTGGAGTCTGTGGAATGTGCCTTGGTACCTCGCTGACATTCTCCAATATGAGTTGCAGTATAAGGAGTACAGCATGCCTTGGGAGGTAAGTGGACGAGGCATACAGTGATCCTGCCTTGTCCTTTGGGTGCAGTGCAGCCTTGCCACTCAGCTCAGGGCTCTGCACTAGCTGACTTAAGCTGGCCTTTCTCACTTCCCATATTAAGGCTGAGAGATTTTACATAAAATATCAATTCTGAAGTTCAATAACTTTTCTTCTCATGAGCCCTGCATCCATCATCGTTCAGGCTCTCTTCTTGCATCTAAGACAAGAAAATTTGAAAAAGAAAAGAGAAGAGAAAAACCAATATAAAAAGAGTATTTAAAAGAGCTTCCTTTTGCCCAGTCTCATTAACAGCAATGCTTTGTAATATTTTGCAGTTTGCTCGGAACAAGACACTACCCAGTTCACTGCCACAGGTAGAAATTGAAGCCACAGAGCTCCACAGTGGCATTGCTTACGCAGCAAGGGTTCGCTGCAAAGTTTCTGAAAATGAGAATTCATACCACAGTCAGTGGAGTGAGTGGAGCAAGACAACAGTGTTTCAAAGAGCAGGTATGAAGAATTTTTCATGCCCATGTCCCAAAAAATAAAAATAATAAAAAACCCCAAAATAAAATAAAAAAAATCAGAACTAGCTTTCTTCAAGTATTCATAGGCAAAGTACTTTCCTTAAGGCCTTTAGCTGCCTGTTTCCTTTACAGTGCTTGGTTATTTGGGGTTCTATCTTGACTTTCACACTTTTTATTAAAAATTTTTGCGCTGATTCTTTTCCTAGATGTCCCAAAAGTCTCTGAAAAGATTCTAAATACCAAAACTATGCAGTACTTATTCATTCCTCTGAGTTTTGGCACTTTGCTCTATTTATTCTGGAACTGCAAGCTTTCCTCAAGGTATGTGATTTTCATTAAGTTCCCCTTGATCTTTATGGCCTGGAAAGGGTAAATCAAGAGTTGTTAAATCCCTTTTCCTTCCTGTTTTTGCTGCACAGACTCAGTAATTTCCAAAACATCTTCTGACAATCTTGGAATGTGACATATTCCTCAGCCAATGATGGCTAATGACCCACTATACAGTCCTTAAGGAGACCATTTGGGACTCCCAAATTTGGCTAAAGCACAAGGATGATGGTATCTTGGAGTTAAAGAAATTTAAGCCAACGGAAATATTTGAAGTTTCATGTAGATAAATTAAAAGTGCAAGTACACAGCAACCCATAAAGGTGGTTAAGCTGATGTCAATGCTAAACCATGTGTAATATTCCTGGCAGGAGTCAGTAGGTAAAATACCAATATAGGCAAACTAAACGGACTCATTCATTTGAGATCAAGTTGTATGGAGAAAAGTGTCTTCAGAACCTTCGTTCAACCATCCTCTGCATTTTTTATGCTGGCAGAGCATAGGTAAATCTCCTACCTCTTTCTTTTTTGCCTTGACATACATTGTTATGATCCATATACACATCATTCTTAGAGAAACAGAATACATGGTGTCCATATGTTAAAATATTTTTATAGGATAGACTCCAATAAGGTGGCAAGGATGTCTGGCAGAATTGCTCTGTTTAAATGTAATGAAACTAGAAGTCTTTAACTTTCAGAAACAGTGGTTTAGATCAAGTACTCTGATAAACAAATGTTTAAATAGATCGGTGCATATAATGAGTAATAGACCAGTATGCTAAGTTTGTGACATACTCCTAAGAGACTTATGAGACTGTGCTTCAGGTTAGAAACATTATATGCATGAATAGGTGGCAGAAAAATAATTGCATGAAAAGTCAGAAATTATGGTGAGTGGGCTTCTTGTGCAGTCTTACTAACATCAGTGTGGGAGGGTTCACCTAACCAGTATCATGGAGACAGAACACAGAAAAACTCTCCATTTTTATTGTGTTGTTTTCTCACTTTAGGGCAAAAAGCCTCGCCTGCTTTAACATTCCCACACCAGCTGCTTTCTTTCAGCCACTCTATAGTTCGCACAATGGGAATTTTAAGGTAAGAAATAAATTTCGTTTCTTTCTTATGACCTCCATTCATAACAGGAGGATTTTTTTTCCTAGGATTAATAATTCTAGCTCCTGAGCAGAGTTACTAACACGTGGTTCTGATCTTTCTGAAAATTTATAGTTTCTCATTTTCCTGCTTCCACACACTAGCTAACCACCAGAGCTTCTATGTAGCCTCTTGCTCCTTAGAAATGAAATTCCTCCAGTGGCTCCCAGACTAAATGCAAAAGGTTCACCTTTTCAAAACCAAAGCAATACCAACAGTTTGCATTATATTCTGGTGGTGTAATCTTGTAAAACTTCTTGTAAGATTTTGTGAAATTAGCTGGTAGATTTTTTTACCCTATTATTCAAACTTTGCCTGTTGCATTTGCACTAAACATCTGGGTTATTGTGCCAAAGCCATAAATAAAGAAAAGTTATTTTGGAATAACTATGCAAAATGACCCCAGCTTATTGATGCTTTCATTAGGACTGGGTTGGACTGAATGAGGCTTGTAGCCAACTTGAAAGAGAAGAGGCCAGCAACTCAAGCAAAGTGAATGCAGATAGAATTTCTGATCTAAACACCCAAGAACTGATTTCCCAGAACTCATTGAAACCTACAGGAAGTACAGACATGGTTACTGCAGAAGAAACCTTTACATTTGCCTCAGGTCCAAGCCAGCAGTATGTCTCCAGCAGGTACATAAGAGCAGAAGAGACAGAGTTGTGGCCGGGACTATTGTTTGCACCAAACCATGCTGGTGATCCCATTGGCCTGAAAATCTCTGAAATAATTAAAGACAACCTTGAGAGTCCTCGTGTTGGAAGGAATTATTCCTCTCACTCACAGCATGGAAAGGGTGATTTTCTTATGCTTCAAGAATCTTTGGGAATAGCAGACGTGTCCTTCAGTGGTAGTGACTATTGTACTTTGTGTGACAATGATACCACAGGAGGTTTGATTTCTGCGGAACTGCTGACGCTTTCTGATGGCAATAGTCATGTCAAACTTCAGAAAAATCAGTGACTTTCCCTGGGGAACACTGCCTACAAAGTTCCTTGTGTTCTCCTATCACCTCCCAAGCGATATAAATGGGGACTGTGCAGGCAGTTTCAAACATGTATCATTTTAAAATGCATCCTCAACTTCTGTACTTCAGAAGAAGATTATGACTAAATCCCCTGTCTAGCAAATACGACCCCTCCAGGCATGGCAAGCCCTGACCCTGGCACCACCTGCAGTCCCAGAGACACACGACTACGCCCTTCCCTGAATGAAGCTCTTGGCTGCCAGATGCAGTAACCCTGCCGTGTAAGGAGGCAGCAGCAGACCTGCTGTTTGCCCCAGGAAGAACTATTAGAACTGTGTGTGCCTCCTGGAAGCAGCAACATTTGCGATGTGATGAACCATGATTTAAACTCCATTATTTTGTAAAAACTATGCATGACTTTTCATAAAATCATGAGAAACTATTTTTGCTTAAGACAGAAATTCTGCTTCTTAACATATTGATGAATTACAGCGGTTCCTGATTTGATCAGAATTTGTAATTGCTCTGTTTAAAGATAATCAGACAGTAGGCCTTGTTCTTTTTTATCTTGAATGGCTGTAACTTTTTATTATTGAATAACTAAGCCTCATGTACTACTTTAACAAAAATTTATTTCAAGGTCAAGTGGCTGGGCTGATTTAATGGAAAAAGGTGAAAAATAAAGACAACACAAATGACTTTTACTTAATCACAGAACAGACCAGGCCCACTGCCTCTCCAGGCCTTCTGTTATTTCTCCACAATTGATGAGTCCTTTGCCCATCTGCACAACAGGTACAGCCTTTCTGAGCTGAATCTCTGGAAGTTTACTTTCTGCCCTAGACACGGAAAATCCTATAAGTGATTAATAATCTATCAAGCAGATTTCTGGAGTCTTAGTTGCATCTCTTAGATTTAATGGGCTCAACAGTTTTATCAAGCATACTGAGATATGTACACATGCATCTGAACTAGCTGACACATCTATATACACAGTCACATACATTAGTTCCCTCCTCTTTGGAGTACTTCCCTTGTCTCTCTGGTTACAACACAGACTAGTTTTGACAAGGCCAAGAAAGATTTCATTTAGAAGGAGCAAAGTAGGTCAAGACATCCTTCCCAAAAGGTGTGCTAAGCCAGAGAACTGTTGTGAGCAGTTTTTATCTGTGTGAAAAACAGGAACAGAAAGAGGAGTTAACACCCGATTTGTGTGACAGCCACAGGAGTTGATAGCAGTGATTTGTTTTCAGCGCTGTAAGCAAAGGGCTTTTCTGACATCTGTAAAATATCCCATTTCTGGTCCTTGGCGCTTTTTAACTTACCAAAATTGTGTTCAAGGGCGCTTCTATTACTCCACCACAATCTAATGGCAAGAGAAGAACGTGATGTTGCTGTCATTAAGAGTTGCTGTAATTTCCCCAGGATTAGAAAATCAGTAAAACAATGTCACATATCTGGAGGATTTTGGTGATCCCAAACTTTTAGACCCCACAGTGTAGTTCGATGTAGTCCCAGATTTCAAATCTTCAGAATCTGAGGGATGCTCTCTAAAATTGTCAGATCAGTTGTATCTTAAAGCCATCAGATCTTGATAGCCCTTTCTTATGAACACATCTGCACAGAAATGTAACCATTTTCATTAAATCTTGTTTTGTTAATAAGGTATTCTGTACCAGTTTTATTAGCAAAATGAGAGTGGGAACAATTATATTCAGATATGAGTAAGGAGAAACAGGTCAGGCTTCTATGGAAGGGAGAATACAAAACTTCATTTAATAGAGAAGCAAAAGAAAACTGAGAGATTGAATGTAGTCAGAAATTACTTGAGAGAAATGAAAAGTCAAAGACACTGCTGCTGGTGTCCATTTGGGCAAGATAGGAAGACTATAAGAACTGAGTCTGCAGATGATGACAGGCTGATGGTTAAGAGGCTGAAATTGTATTCCAGCATCAGCAGTTCTCCAGAAACTCTTAAAAACTTTTACCTGCTTTTATGGAATTACTTGAATACACTAGTTGTAGGTAAAATCAAAATGCCTCTTCTTTACAATTAGGTCTTTGGAAAAACAAAGCCTCATTTTTATTCAGCCACTGAAATACTACAAATTTTCTAAAAAAAG